CCAGTCAGGCATTTTCATACTCCCAACTCTAGGAGAGCGCTAGGGAGAAGCCAAACCAATAAAGAGCCAGTGTACTATAGAGCAAAGCAAGAGAAGAATGGAAGCCGAAGTTTCATTAGGCTCAATCCACCTTAACCGAACAAGTCCTTAATGAAGTACACGCCTAAGCGCGTTCTAAAAAAAGTGCGGAGTTAGAGTCGAGGAGGTCCTACACGGACGGCTACACCCAATTTTGACAGCACAAAAGGCTGTTTACCTATTTTTAATTAAAGCCCACGGTCCACGGAGGATACTTCAAGAATTCAAGGAGGTTAAATGAAAAAAATCCATTTTACCTCGCTGTACTATCCTCAAAGTCTAGTTTTCCTCTCTAAACTCGAAAACTGGGTAAACTACCTCCCTCAACTTTTAAAACCGTTTATTTTACCTCCCTGACCCAATTATATGTGGTTTTGAAAGGCAGTTTTGTCTTTTTCTTTTTTATTCATTTTTGCTGATTTTTAAAAAATCATAGTAAATTACAGAAAATTTATAAAATGGAAAATCTAATTTTCTTAGACTCCACATAAATAGATCTACACAGTGAATATATAATATGGTATGCTTTAATACAAAGTTTTTGTTATAACTTTAGATCTATGTTTTTTTAATTAGTTTAAAGCTGCACTTTCTATAGTCCAACTGTGGTGAAATTTTTATGGTGGACAAATTATTATATGATTGAACTTTAATAAAAAGTTTATGCTCATTGGATCAAGTGTAACTGAGTTATAGATTTATTTATTTTTATGCTTGTTAAATAGTTTTAAAATAGTTAAAAGTGTGTAAAAATAGAAATGAGTATGAAAATTTTACTACAGCTAAACCATACAATAATTAGACCACCATAAAAATTTCACCACAATTGGATCATAGAAACTGCAGCTATGAATTAATTACACAAAAGTATAGATCTAAAGTTACAGCAAAAACTTTGTATACCGTATTATATGTTTACTATATAGATATACTCATGTGGAGTCCAACAAAATTGAATTTTCAATTTTATATTTTTTTCTGTGATTTACTATGATTTTTCAAATATTCAACCAAAATAAATAAAAAAGAAAAAGACAGAACCGTTTTTGAAAACCACCAATAACCGAGTCAGGGAGCTAAAATGAGCGTTTTTAAAAGTCAAGGAGATGGTTTACCCGGTTTTTTAGTTTAGGGAGGGAAACTAAACTTCAGAGATAGTTCAGGGAGGTAAAATATATTTTTTTAGGTTAAAATAACTTTTTTCCATAATCCACATATATTGAAAGAGGTAGAAAGCACGGCCCAAGAGCAAAAGCGAAGTCAGACGTGCAAAGCGGCTGCTCCATGTCGCAGCTGGATGGTCCATACGTTCCGTACGGCCGGAGCAATCATATTCATATATCAATAGCATCATGATCCGGTGATTGAGTGAACTCCAACCGCAATGCACGCAGTTGCAAGGAACGAGTAATATTTCCGTGTTAAAGAACGAACCCCAACCAACGACTTAATAAAGAAGAAAAATGCCCCATCCCTCAACTTTGGTCGGATTCATGGCTGATTTAACTAGTGATATGCTGATCAAATTTTCTTGTATTTAATTAGATTTATAAAAAATATTAACAATATTTATATCTTTAAATAAGTTTATTATAAAAATATATGCAGCTATAATACACTATAAATACTAATATTTTCTTATGAGAGAGAATACACGTTTTAGGGTGGTTGAAAAAAATATAGACCGTCTATTGGTGAAAAATAGTAAGTACCAAAAAAATACTAAAAAGTACCGAGAAGTACAGTACCAAAATATACGGGACCGGCACCAATAAAATTTTAAGTAATTTTAAGTTATTATCAAAAAATAAAAGGTACTCTAATAATTTTACCAACTCAGTATGTGTATACAAATACAAATTCCGGTCGCACGGAGGTGGGTGCATATATACAAATACAAACACCAGAAAGTTTATACGACCGGAGCTGAGTGCTGATTAGCCTATACGTGAAGCGAGGGGCCTTTTTTACAGACCGGCGCCGTACAGACGCCGCAACCAGCTCCGGTCGTATACATGTGCGTGAATGCTGCGCTTGCTAGCTTCTTCCGATTAGGCGGTCTATGGACTGCGCTCTGTATCTGTAGTTCCGCTCCACCAATTTCATTGTAGAGCAGCTGTATCGTGAAGTTTATGGAGCAGGTGGTACCGTTTGGCACACATGCTAGCTCCAGCTCTAGGAATGGATGGTTTCTAGGCAAATGATCTATTTATGCCCCTGATTTACGTTTATTTATTCAAATACTCAGCACGCATGCGTTAGTGTTCACTATTGTTCATTTAAGAGGTTTTTCCTTTTTTATTTCTTGTTAGAAATAAATAATTGAATAATTAAAAAAGATAAGAATGTTGACCGTGCTAGGCCACTCAACGCCCGAAGGACGAGCAGGCTAGCCTGTCAACGATCTCACCTTTTCCCGTTTGCTGGAGCACGCATGGGAGAGGGCGGAGTCAGCGAGTGCACATGGCGGAGGAGAGTCAAGTCACATGGGAGAGTGAACCTGTGATTAATGAGTGGCAAGTGAGTAATTACTCTTCAACTCCATGTGGGAGTACGAAACTTAAAAAAGTGGAGTACCTCTTGAGGTGCTTTAGAAAAAACGTGGAGTTGGTCATCAACTCCACATTTTTCTTGAAGCAGAGTTCGTGGAGTTGAAGATATTTGGCAACCCAGAGCTAGAGCGGAGCGGAAAAACAGAAGCGGAGCAGTCCCAAACACCCCTTAGGCGTAAACACGCTTAATGCATGCATGGCCCTGTATCGTGTACCTATAGACTTGTTGCTAGCTTCTTTTCCTTTAAGACAATAACCGGCCTGTATCGTGCAATTTACTTAAATAAAAATACAAAGTACACTAGTACTCCCTCCGTCTCAGGAAACAAGGCGTAACTACTTTTTTTAATTGTCCCAGGAAACAAGGCGCTGGACTCCTCGGCTCTGCTTGCGCCGTCGCTCCGCGTGCGTATTACTGCTGGACATGGTACCACTCGCCTTCCGTTGGAACAGCGCCGTTACTCTCGGCGGCCAGGCCGTCAACCCAGAACATATGCACCCGAGTAGTACTTGCATGCATCTCTCGTGACTACCACCTCCTCTCTCTCTCTCTCTCTCTCTCTCTCTCCTTGCATGTGTTACGGAGTCCCAAACATAATCATAGCTCAAATCATGTACGTCTCCCTCAAATTCCTCAATCTCATCCCAGTTGGTAGGCTCATTCAAATCTAATCTAAACCAGGCATGGTGTTCAAACGAAGTAGGAAGAATAGAGAAAGGAATGTGTTGTCAGCCGTGCATAAGCATTGCCTATTTATAGGAGCACAAACGAACGATTAGTGGTGCCACTAGCCAAAATATTTTTCATATACGCGCAGGCATCAGCAGCTGAAAAAATGCGCACGGCTACATGCATGGAATCTGGAAGGACCGCGGGCTCGGAAGAAAAAACACGTGCGGCTGCTGGCTGCATGCGACGGGAGAAGAAAAGAAAATGCGCGCGACTCGGTCTAACGGCACGGGACGGAGCACCGTTTCACGCAATTATTCCGAGATGGAAACGAAGGGACGTTCCTGGGAGCACGCGGTAATTAATGTACTCCTTGGTCTTTGCAATTTTTGAGTTACGTCTAGTATCCTGAGACGGAGGGAGTAGTACTTTCCAACCATCGAAACAAGGTACATCTTATATATATTTGGTCAACTAAAAATGTTTGATTTTTTTTTTAAAAAACGAGAATGATACTCTTGTTGCCTGATAGGACGGAGCTAGGGAGCATGTAGAAGACCTCGAAGGTGTGTAGTGTGTTCACTGCTGCACAGAATAAGGGCCAGCACCAGCAGAGGTTGGCACTTGGCAGACGCTGACCACTGCAAGCACATGATCGAGGTGATGGAGCTGGAGAGCGACGACGCTATTGGTCTCACTTTACTGTTCTTCTTGACGACCTCCTTCTCCTCCTTGGCATGAAGGTCCTACGCAGAGCCTTTTTGTCTGACGTTCTGCCAGAAGTTGCAAGAAACTAGCTTATCAGAAAAAGCTACGAAACAAGACCGCTTTTGAGGAAAATGTTTTTGAAACTTGCTTCTCAGAAAGGGACTTTTGCGATTTGCCCACTGCTTTGAAAGTTGCGAAAGCCATTACAACTTAAGCAGGGCCATAGACACCATCAATGGATCAATGCTTAATTTGGTTGTTATTCTCCTCTAAAGAGATCAAATGGACATGATATTTTTCTGTTCTGATATAAAAAGAAATTGCGTATGTAGAACTCTCGAAAGCCCTATTTGTTTTAGCTTAGGATCAGTGGCGGACCCGGAGTGGTTTAGTGGCCCAAATAGGCCAAAATCCCGGGCGGACGCCCAGGGTTGTCAGGCCCTGGGTTCGCTAGAGCTTAGGATTCTGGGTTGTGATTTTTTTTTGCAATTGAAGGCTAACAAACGAGCAGCTTTATTTCTACACAGAATTTAACAAACTAGCTTGCCGGGTTAGGGTTACTACAATCCGCTCTCCAATTGCTTCTAACTGACTGTAGCATAGTACATATTTGTCGCTAGTCATTCCTCCGTTCTAAATTATAAGACATTTTTAACTTCTTCTACATACATAGTTTTTGTCATGCACTTAGATATACACTCTCTTTAGATATATAATAAAAGCAATGCATCTAAAAAAGCAAAAATCTTATAGTTTAGAGCGGGGAGTATTTATTAACAAGTGCCAGGGGAGTGGGGTTTGTTTTCTGTGCAGTAAATGGGCTACGGTGCAAAAGTAAACACACCCTATATATACAGTGCTACTAGTTTAAAAATTTCCACTGACTGGGTGGAAATTTGAATATATATAAGCACCTCCCACAAGTCATATGCAGAAAGTAAGAAATGTTTCCAGTACATTCAGAACAAGAGGAGGAGAATGCACTGCAAATATTAACTTTTCAAAAGAGACGAGACCCGGAGCAAGCAGAACAGAGGAAAATCATTACCGGTGTCCGACGAGGCTGCTTCGACAGACGTGGCACTTGAACCAGGGTGGTCGTTGCGCAAGGAAAGCCCGTTGAAGGCATTTACTAGGTCGTAATGTTGCGACGGCTCATAACAGTCCGTTGCCTCTTGTTCAGCTTCAGCTTTGGGAGGTGATCCGGAAAAGAATGTGAAGCATTGTGGCACTAAAGCCTGTTGCTGAGGAGCAGCAACGAGTCGAGGCCCCAGAACATCAGAGGTTGGGGCGGCCCCTGCCAAATGATTCAAATGTAAGCCGATGGCATTGTCAAGTTTCTGTTAGAACATGGATCGTGTAAGGCACGAGACATTAGAACAGTTGTTTGGTAGGCATACATACATGCATATTAACTGTACCTGAAGTTCCCTTGACGCAATCTGGAAGAACTGGTGCACCCTCAACCAATTCTTGTCCACGGATGGTGGCGCCCTGGCGAGCTTTTGATCGGCGTCGTTGCTGGCCATGTCGATGGCCAAGGCCAGGGGAGGCGCCGTGATGGTGGATGGTGAAGGACAGGTCCGTGGGGAGTGGCAGTGCTGCAGTCAACGACTGGCCGGCGCTGGTGTTGTCGTCCGTGGTGGAGGAGATTGTCTTGTCATCACCTGCAAATTTGCATAAACATATGGCGATTTTATTAGCAATAGGAGCGACAAGTGGTATCATTTAAGGCGATAAAACTAAATGAGAAATAAGAGAAAAGTTGGGATGCATGGATGAGTACTGGTTTTGTTTCAGTTTCAGATGAAGAACCCAACCATACCTGAAGTGCAGATGACGACATCGTCTGCTGGCTCCTGAACAACTTCTTGTCCCGACAAGTCAGCTATGGAGGGAGGCTTTGGCTGAGTTGTGTGAACTGTCAACTGGCTGCGTCTTCGCGGCCTTAGGCGTTCTCGGTTGCTCCTCTCGCCTTCGGTTGAAGGGTAATGATGTTTTACGAAATGTGGAAGCTTCGGGTGGTTGGCAAACTCTTTCTCAATGGCAACTTCTAGACGCAAAATATTCAGTTTGGTGCCGAACATATCACACAAGACCACCGTGAGTTGGGAGAGATGCTTGAGACCAAAATCAAGACGACCATGGCTCAAAGAAATTGTTATATCTGCATCAGAGTCAATATGGAGTCGTTCCAGCTTTGGCATGGATCCAGCTTCAAACGTCAGCATGGAGATACTGTGGCGCCCATCCAATGTTTCTACCTTGAAATGCCTCAAGCTTCTGTATCCATACCTGTTGCTGATCAGAAGACGTTGTTTGTCTTCAACGTTCTTTAATATCTCCAGTCTTAGATCGACAAGAACTGGTAGGTCACCGAGAATACAAAGACTTTCCTCATCCAATTTCTTTATTCTCATATCCAATTCTTCAATGTTGACAAGAGACTTCATCCACCTTGGCACCCTTGGCATGGGATTCATCTTGAAAACAAGCTTTTGTTAGGCTAGCAGAGCACCACGGCACCTCAACGATGATGTCACCTCCATTGAAGATGACGTCCTGCCCTTTTTCATATCTTTTATATTTTACCTTTAAAGTTTGAAGCTTATTTAACCGTTGAAAAGAAGAAACCATCTTTTTTATAAGATCCACATAGCTTTCCTCGTCAATAAAACCAAATTGGGAAGAGAAAAATATACCCAGATGCCCCTCATCTTGGTTAAATAGCCAATTTCTTCAACAAAAATAGTTGCCTTTATCTTAATTTCTACTGAATATAACCATTCCAATGCCTGCATGTATTTAATTCCACTGGGAAAACACTTTAGGGCCCGTTCGGTTGAGGCCATTCCTGGCTGGAACGTATCCTGCATGGCCATATAAAATTCAATAGTATTCCTGGCCGGATCCGTTCCAGGCCTTGAATACCTGATTGGAAAAGGAACCATCAATAGGTTGACAAGTCTTTTTAGTCGAACTATAGCTGTTGGGAATTGGATTGTGGAATAGCCCGACAAGTCAAGTGTTTCCAAATACTGTAGCGCTCCAATCTGTTCTGGGAGCTTAGTTATCCGTGTATCTCTGAGACCCAAATACCTCAGCTGGGCTAATTCTCCAATGTTTGCAAGATGATGGTTTCCTAAAAATGTGCCCGTGACGTGTAGGACACGCAAGAATCTAAAACCCAACAAGGAACAGGGGAATCCAAAACTAATAATTGACCGGACATTTGCATAAATCTGGTTCGAATGTAAGGTCGCATCTCCTTCAGCTTCACCTTGCAGACTCAATCGACGAACCTTGATTCCTGGTGGAGGTGCTAGTCTTGGAATACCATCATGTACTACAACAAAGTTGTCTTCGGTGGACTTGCACATGATGAAGTCAAGAATTGTATCATGGACACGACAGGTGTACAGCTCGCCAGTCCACTTATTCATTACCCCTGGAAGGATTAAATTTCTATTGATGAGCTCATTAAAATACTTCTCTCCCAATTCGTACAAGGTGCATGTAGATTCGGCAGGAATGAACCCCTCTGCAACCCATAGCTGCACTAAACGTCTTTTCTCAATTTCATAATCTTCAGGGAATATACTAAGATATAATAGGCAAGCTTTTAAATGATGAGGAAGATCAAAGTAACTGAGTGATAATATTCCCATCATTCCCTCCACAATATCATCTCTCTCAAGTCCATGACCAATAGAAGTTTGGACTTGATCCCACTCTGTGACCGAGTGAACTTCATTCCGTGCTTTGTTAGCTAACAAACCAGATATTGCAATAATGGCTAATGGTAAACCTCCACACTTCTTCAAGATCTTATCAGCGACTTCTTTTAGGTTTTCTGGGCATTCATTTCTGAGACCAAATATTCTGTTCTGGAACAACCTTTTTGAGTCCTGTTCTTGAAGAGGCTTTGGTTGGTAAACCAAACCATCAGAATATAATGAGCAACATGCTTTGGCCACATCATGAATCCGAGTTGTGATTATTATGACACTACCACAACTATTGTTTGACAATGCATACTTAATTGTGTCCCATGTTTCCACATCCCATACATCGTCGATTACAATGAAGTACCTACGACAAGATTTGATAAAGCTATTTAGTATGGCAGGATACATATTTAGCTCAAACAAATCTTCCACCAATAATTATTAATATGATAGACGACCAGAATGTATGAAACTCTATTCTTTAAAATAATAACGTTATACTATAGTAAAGTGTAAGCATTATTTGTAGCTGTCTCATTTTACTTTTCACACACTCAGAAATGGGTGTTAGGGGGAGAGGTATGATTTAGGATTTCTAGAACAAAGACACAACATAAAATCATGATGTACTAATAAGAGGATAAATCTAAACTAGGATTTGTAACACTAAAGCTCGGACACTTAGAAATGAAACCTACACCAAACTATCTAGATACGCTCTGAGCTATTCTTGTGTATCAGTTCTGACACAAGGAGGTGGCAAAGTTTTGCACCCTAGGTTCCTATTTGACAATAGTTTCTTGTTTTATAGTTTTGTAATGACAACTCACTGAATAATCTTTAGAACATACTTAGGCAGAACAAAACTATAGTATTTATGCAGTTATGCACCGCTACTTGTGGAAAACTTTGGTATATTTATTTGACCCAACAAATAGGCAGCCTATATGTACAGGCTTTAGTGGTGTGGAAACTGTACTATTAGATTTATATTACAAAAAACTGGTTATCTGTTTTCTAACTTTTAGCAATATATTGAGAGAGAAATAATTTGTCGAACTCTAACTAAGTACAAGTGAAAAATAAAATTGCTCCTTATAAATGCTCTTAGTGATAGTTAATTTAAGGGATTTTCTCCTTATCAAGTGACTGATACCTTGGATGTGTACTATGCGCATTTCAAGGCTACCAGTCCTAGATAAAACAACAGAAAAGAAAGAGCATTTATGATAACTATCTCTCGAAACGCCCATTTCCTTCAACTGAATTTCTTATAATGGCAAAAGCTTTGCTAGAAGAAAATTAAAATAGGTTTCTTAGAGGAATATGGATGTGACATGCTGAAAGTATACACCGTGTGTACCTTTTTGTCTGAAGGAATTCACGGATTTTCATGACCAACTGTTGCATGCTTGCTCCTTCTGTCATATAAAAAGCTTGACATGTCAGCTCGCTGAGAATGGTTCTCAAAATCTTAACCATGTCAGGATTCCGTGACACCGACAAGAAAGCTCGGCACTGGAACTGATCCTTCAGCTCTTCGTACACTCGATTTGCAAGGGTTGTCTTTCCAACTCCTCCAATTCCCACGATAGAGACTATCTTCGGTTGTTGTGATGAAATACCACCATCTTCCTTCTTCAGAAATGAAATTATCTCTTGTTTTGGTTGATCGATACCCACGAGCCTTGAAGCATCCTCAAATATGGCAAGAGCTCTTCGATCCACGATGTTGTTGCTTGTGTTCATGACAGTATTGCTGATCTGCCGGTATCTTGCATTCCTTTCACTCACCTCCTTGACTTGGCCTTTCAGCTTTTCAATCTCCTTGGCAATCCGACGGCGGGCCTTGGTCTTGTCCAATTGGAGTAGCTTCTTGCATTTGTCGATGAAGCCATCTGGTTTCGCCGAGTCGTCATCAACACGGACTATGAAGTCATCGAGGCTGTCCTCGATGTCGTAGGAGAGCTCTCGCACCTCCTTCATCCACGCCTTGTCTTGCGCATCAGGATTCTCCTCTTCCGACTTCTTGAGAAGGAAGGCGTGCATGGCTTCCAGTTCCCGAATGAGGAACTTGACCTCACCACGCACGCCTTTGAAACGCTTGTACTCATCGCTGAGCAAAGCGCCAAGCTTGTCCAGGACGGGGCTCAAGGCCCCCGTCACTGCGCTCACCAGGAAGTCCGGCATGGCGCCCAGAACAAGCTCTAAGCTTCCATTGGGTTCAGTTGGCGTGGTTGCGTGGATAGGAAGGATGCAGGCAGTAGCTCTGTTAAACGGATTCTGCACAAGCCGGCCTTTGTGGATGTTGAATTAAGTATAAACTGTGTCTGCTCCGATCCACTGATGTAAAATAACCACAAAGTTTTCTAGATTCAATCTGCACTTCTCCCCAGGCTTCAAGTTGTTGTATATCATATGTCATACTAATGTAATTGGCAATATCTCTGTCAAGTCAACTCACTCCAGCTATCCAATTGGCTTATTTATAGTCTCCGGATTCCTGGAAACGATGTTGTCTCGCCTTAGATTTTTTTTTACTAGCAAATAACCACATATTAAAATCTGTAGTACATTGCGAAGAAACGTATAGTCTACAATATGTAAAATAACCACATATTAAAATAGATGTCGGTACATTGCGAAGACTACAATATGTAAAATAACCACATATTAAAATAGATGTCGGTACATTGCGAAGAAACGTATAGTTTACGTCATCTATTTTAATGTCTTAGACGCAATATAGTAAATCAAGTAAGACATTTATCTCTAACTGATCACGTACACTACCGGATTCAAGAGCTTTGCCGAGTGCCTGGGGCACTCGGCGAAGACCAAAAAAACACTCGGCATCCTTTGCCGAGTGTTACACTCGGCAAACGACACTCGGCAAACGTAGTTTGCCGAGTGTTTTTTATCGGACACTCGGCAAACTTTTTTTTCAAAAATAAAAATAAAAAGGCAGGCCGCCATCCACGCCCGCACCACTAGCACCGCTGCCGCCATCCACACCTGGGGTGCGCCGGCCACCACCAACACCACAGCCACCGCCACCACCAACACCACCACAGCCGCCGGCCGACCGGGAGAAGAAGAAGGGGAGGGGAGGGGCCGCCGCCATGGAGCCCGCCGTCAGATCCATGGATCCACAACCATCGGGATCCAACCCACTGGATCCGCTGCCGGAGGACACCTCTCCGCCGAATCCGCGATGCCACCCGCTGGTGGAACCATGGAGGGAGGGGAGGAGGGCGGATCTGCCCCGCCACCCGCTGCTGCTGCTGCTCCGCATCGCCGGGAGGGGCCGAGCCGCCATGCGCCATCGCCGGGAAGAAGGGGAGGGAGGGGAGGGGCCGGATCCGGCAGCCGCCGGCATGGGAAGAAGAAGGGGAGGGAGGGAGGGCGGGCCACCAAGGGGACGAAGAAGGGAGGGAGGGAGGGGCCAGATCCGTGGCAAGGGGAGGAGGAGGAGGGGCCATGGGAGGAGGAGGGAAATCGCTGGCCGGGCAGCAAAGGGAGGAGGGGGCGGGTCTTGAGGGGACTGGGGATGGGAGAGGCGGGCGAGACGGGGGGGCCGGGAGGGTCGTATGCGGTTTTTATTGCGGGTGGGTTTTATTTATTTATTTTTTTACTTTGCCGAGTGTTGATTTTAAGACACACGACGAACCTCCCTTTGCCGAGTGTTTTTTCGTGACACTCGGCAAATCCTCTATTTACCGAGTGTTTTTTGTTTGACACTCGGCAAACTCGCCGAGTGTTTTATTTTTTTGCCGAGTGTTTTTAGGATAGCACTCAGCAAAGAATTTGTTCTCCGAGTGTCCGAGGGAATACACTTGGCAAACAAATAAACACTCAGCAAATTTGAGGATTCTAGTAGTGATACTCTTAGTAAAATCATGGAGACCGTTATACTTAGGGCAGTGGATGGACCGATATATGGAAGAGAGAGTTAGTGACGAATGGAGAGACAGAGGAAGAAATTTTCTTCTTTTAGTTATGTATAGGGAAATTACTTCCTATATATATACACATTGTATATTTTGTGCGTGCGCACAGCGCCTGTGTCCTGTGCACACATGCTGTTTTTTGTGGGCCACCCTCCCGCGCGCGCCTGTCCGCCCGGCCCAATCTAGGCTTTTTTTGCTATTTGGGCCGCGCGCGTCCGTTGTTGCGATTCTGCGTACGTGCGCGTTTTGTTTTTTTGGTGCGTATCGCTTCCGGTCCCGTGCTGCTCTTGCTTTGTTGAGTTACAGCTTTATTTTACATTAGTTACTGTCCAGATTTTGAGTAGTTATAATCATGTGATTGGTTTTGTGTGGGCCGATATGCAGGTGTTGTTCCTCTTTTTTTCATGCCTATTTACAACTATGTTATTTTGTAGTTATGACGTGTTTGTATGTGCGTGTTGACACTCAAAAGTGTCCCAACATGGAATATGGGTGACATCAATAAATTCTTGACATCCCAGAGGTGTTAGAAAATATTTGGCGCGACAAACAACGAAAGGATCGAGCAAAAAAGGAAGGAGGCGGCGCCTGCCCTGGCAGAGTCGGCTTAGTTAATTCACATGGTCGGCTAAGCTACTTCATCCTGCCTAGTCGGCTTAGCCGACTCACATTAAAAAAGGGTCATTACGGTGGAGGCAAAATCTAAAGCTCCAGGAAACTTACAATAAATTTGCCAGTCAAATTCATAATGGTTCAAGTTGTCTTCTGTGGGAGGACTGTTGGGCTGCTGAAACCATGAAATCTTAGTTCCTACAGCTTCACTCGTTTGCTGAAAAAAAAAGAAAAAAAAAGAGGATTTCTGTTGATAAAGATAAAGGAATTTCCTAAGAGTTCCTGATCAACCTTTTCCATTTGTCTCTCTCGTATGAGGCCTTCAGTCAATTTCAGGATTTCTCTGCAATGTTCAATGAAATGGCTCTCTCTGAAGGAAATAACACCTGGACATATCAGTGGGGCTTAACTTTTCTTCTTCAACGATCTACGCTGCCCTCTTTGGTCAAACACAAGTGCATGAGGGATATAAATGGTTATGGCAATCCTTATGTCAACCTAAGCACAATGTGTTCTTTTGGCTTCTGCTCACTGATAGGCTAAGGACGAGAAATATCCTGAGAAAAGGAATATGCACCTTGATTGCTACAATTGTGTCCTATGCCAAAATAGTTAAGAAGAAACTCTGGAACACCCGTTCATGAATTGAACTTTTGCAAGGAGCTACTGGAGCCTCATCAACATTGTAATACCTGCAAAGTGCTCATCTGAAGAAGTTCCTAAATCTTTAAAAGACCAGCTTGGCTCTCCCTTCATGAATGCAATAATTCTTATGTGCGCTGGGCAATTTGGAAGACAAGAAATGGATTAATCTTCAACAATATTCCTGCTAGCTTGCATAGTTGTAAGGAAATTTTCTCACGAGAATTGTCTCTGCTGGCACACGGAGCAAAGAAAGCTAACTCGTCACTGTTTGAACTATGGATTCAAACTCTTCTGTAATTTTCCTTTCTGCTCTTATTTTTCTTTTTATCCTTTTTTGTTTCTTGAAGCTTTGTACTTGTACTCTCTCGATCTTGTTTTTAATTTAATCTTTTTCAGCCTGGGCTGCGGCACCCCTGTTACTCTAAAAAAAAAAGTGAAGCAAAGGCAGGCTCTGTTTGGCTGGCTAGAAAAACAGCTGATGCTGATGCTGATTTATTGTGAGAAAAAAATACTATTATTTCACTGAAACGGTACAGCTGATAAGTTCAAGCGAACAGGACCGAGCTGTATCCGCTTCTACTTGATGCCAGTTCTGAGATTGGATGTTACCCAGACAAGCACATTAATTTGCGTGGCTAATTTCTTACTTCGTGCTTGTGCGTGGCTAATTTTTTTGTACTTTGTGCATGTGCATCTCTGGTCTCCATGCGAGCAAATGGACGTGTGGAAACATTAAATCTGAAAATAGTCAGATGAGGTGTAATGGCACGCACATGCTAACAGCACATATATACTAATTCCAGACAATCACATTAATTATAATGTTGTACAACATTATAGCTGATACTCTGCATCATTTTCCACGGATTCATCCCCCAATCTTCTGCTGTGATAAAATACCCCCATCCTCCTTCGTCAGGAATGAAATTACGTCTTGCTTTTGTCAATCCATACCCATGAGCCTTGAAGCATTCTCAAATACGGCAAGAGATCTCGGATCTACAGTCACGTTGCTTGTGTTCATGACGGGCTGTTCGCTGGTCTGAAATTTTCAGCCAGCCGGCTGATCCCCACTCTTAAGTTACTGTTCACCAAATCAGTCAAACAGTGTTTTTCTCTCATAACAAACCAGCCGAAACAGTGTTTTTCAGTCAAGTTTTAGACCAGCGAACGGGGCCAGTCTCGCAGATCTTGCGATTGCGAAAAAACATCAATAAAAAAAATCTCACAGATCTTCTATCTTGCATTCCTTTCACTCACACCTCCCTGACTTGAACTTTCAGATGATGAATCGCCTTGGCAATCCAACGCCTTGGTCTTCCGCCGGTAGGTCCTTGCATTTGTCGATAAAGCCATCTGGCCTAGTTGACTCGATGAACTCCAGCAAAACTAGTGGAGAATTATTGTTCATTACAGCTCATCAATAATGTGACGACCCTAGACCCAGTGACCTTCATGGTTGTATTCGGCTATTCGCCCCTGTCAATGGTGCCCTGAATCATCAACCTAAATTTCCGATCGCCCGAAACACATCACAAGCTGCCTCATTATTGCGCTACCTGCCAGTGGAGGTCGTCGGGCGGGTGGTGGCTGGAGCCTGGAGGTAGCTAGAGCTGGCCGAGGAGCTCTCACAAGATGGCGTCACTAGTTTTCAAAGGCTTTGGACATCAAATTTCAGCGTTATTGGAGCTACTATTCTTTTTCCACCAAAATACATCTTTGCAAGCACTAACAACCATATTTATAGGGCTATTTATTGGCACTCTTGGAGGTGCTTTTCCGTCGTCAATTGCATCGTATTAGGGACGTCCCTCACATGTCCCAAATCAATCGAGACATTTATGCTAATAAAACCTTATATACTCTTATCTATAATTTATTTTCATAAAAAAAATATGCTTTCATAATTATTTCATAATATCTCTAGATTTTAGTGAGATCAACCAAAAACTAATGGTCAAATCTATACCTAACAAATGTCAAACCATAATGCTCCTCGAGGGGCTCCTTGCCTTTATCTTCAACTACCTTTACGCTGCCACAAGCTCGACGCTAGGGGCACCACTCCTCGATGACCCCGCCCTCCCCCGCCTACTTGCCTGCTTCCCAGCTACTTATCAATGTTGCAACAGGTGGTGTATGACATTTATATTGATTTTTTGTTAACGTTGCACCGGATGATTTGCGATGTTGCAAAAAAAAATCAAGATTTTCCGTAGCTGGTTGTTTATCTTTCTGATGTTTGGATTAGTATTCCTCCATGTTGTACTGGTTGATTTGGAATGTTTGCAAAAAGAAGCAATCATGTTGTACTGGTTGATTTGGAATGTTTGTAGAAAGAAACAAAGTTGCACAAATTTGGATGTTACATATATTGCAATGGTTATATAAATGTTGTATATGTTGCAATGGATATACACATATGTTACGAGTGTATGTTCTAAATATTTCAGCTGTTTAAGACGTATGTTGCAAGTGTTTTATCTAAATATTGTAAAAATAGATCTGAATGTTGCATGTGTTACACTAACTATAAGCCTGTTCGTTTCGGCTTATTTGCTCGTATCTGGCTTATAATCCACGGCTTGAATAGTGTTTTTCTCTCACACCAAACCAGCCAACAGTACTTTCAGCCATGGCTTATAAGTCAATTCAGCCGAAATGAACATGCCGTATATAGAAATAATTGAAGAATATACTACATATGTTGCAATAGCAAGACCGATGTTGGGGCGCGGCGGGGGTCTCTGGTCATGCATCGGGTTGTGTCAGGGGTGGCTCTCTGGTCATGCATAGGGTCACGATGAGTAGGCTCGATGACGTTTTTTTTTAAGGTTTGGCTCGATGACGTTACCCGGATGAGTAGATTCGCCGACGCTCCAATGAGCATAGCAGCGCTATAGCCATCCAGGCATTGGGTCAGGTGGACAAGGCACCGAGGATTTGGCTGGCCTTTTCTATAGTGAAACGCATGTCGAAAATAATCTTGCATGGTCATCTTCACACGAGCGTTCTTGCCACGTGCAGTAACACCGTTGTAAACCACACCAACCTGATAACCACGCTCACCATAGGGGAACAGAAGCGGGTATTGCAGGGACATAAACGCAGGATGCAAAGAAGAAATATGCTGCAAATGGCCGGATTTTGCCTGTATAACTATATCACGTTGAAAGGTGTCTAGGGAGAAATCACCAACAACAAGCATGGCCAGCTGTTCGGTAGTGGGCAGGTTGTACTGAACAGGGTCCCCCTCCCTCGCCCCTAAGATCCTGACTACGAACTCATCATCGCCATTTTCTTCTAGCCCCTCTTGCCAATCTAAACTGCTTAGCCAATGGGTTGTGTGCATCCAACATTTCGAGCAGGTCCCCTATAACCGCCGGCTCCAGAGGCTCAGAGGGGCGTTCATTCGTGTGCAGTGCGCGTATCCTATTCCTGACCTCATTAGCAGTATCATATATATAGAGCTGGATAAACTTCGGACGCTGGCCACTATCTGGAAGAAGCGATCCTATACGATGGTGAACCTGGCCAGATATCTTGAAGGCAGGGGGACCACGTCCATCATTCATCGATCTATCTATGTTCGCACCCATCGATGTAAATGCAAATAGACAGTTGTATTGTCGTATGGTTTTTAAGAATTTTCTGCACTGAGAGTCACCATCGAATCTGGCAAGAGATGCAATTGGTTCGGGCCGCTGTTTATAAGGGGGCAGGACAACCTTCCCACCCTTACAGCACCTATTATAAATAATCTGGCCACCTCTCACGCTGGACTCTGATTTTACGCATTCATGCAACCAAAACATAGCATGGCAATATCTACATTCATAATCCGGTGTCCCATAGCCAGAACGGCCAGAATACGTCGCTACCCACCCCAAGCAGTCGAACCAGGCACATATAAAACAAAACCAACAAAGAGCAAGCACACAATTAGCAAACAGCACCATACAATACATGGCTGACTCTATCACAAAATGAACAAACCTTTTAGCGCATCGATATAATCCTGCGTGAAGCGACCACAGCCCTGAGCAGCATTAGAACAACCCACCAACCCTAACACAACACACTCGACAATACAACGAGAAATATCAATGCGGACCGCACAGGAAATAGAACAGCCAGAAGGAACACTATTTTTTTCTGGTCTAGGTACTTTTTCCTCTTACAACGTGCCTCCGCAGGCGAGAGGATGGCTGGCAAATAGCAGGCACCTTCGGCTGTTCCAAATAAGCAGTTAACCTACAGCCCGAGACAGCGAACTGCATAGACAAGACACGCTAGACACTACATACCCTTCCTTTTACGGGATCGGGAGGCACCGACCGCCACGTTAGGCTGCGAAGAAGCTATGAATGGTAGATAGTGAATAAATCAAAATAGTTCTATCCGCAACAAATAGATCATAGAATCCTTAAAAGCATCAGGCAAGGCAACGTACAAGGACCTGCCTGAGCACCATAGGCACCAGGCATCACACCAGCTGTCCCCACCAGAAGACCTTAACAAGGACAAAGCCAGGAAAGACTGTTCATTCCTGTGTCTCAGAGCTGGAAAAATTGGACGCCACACACCGTCAGAGCTACACACTCCCCAGCACACAACATGCTGTCAAACAAGGAGACTCAACAACGACACTTCCTTCATCAGGCAGTCAGACTGCACAGCCAATTCTTGTCGCTCTCTTGCCAACCTACCAACCATCCCTGCTGCCCTGGCAGCAATCGAAACGGACGCGCTGGAAACCTTCCTATACATAACTGTTAGATTTATAGGATCATTAAGAGCATAGATCTAGCCGGCAGAATGGTTCTATTCGGGATAAAAGATGTAGTGCACCTTAGTACATATAGAACTATAGAGAATGGGGACAGGTGATTTCATCACAATGGAGGGTTAGATGGTAGAATTGCCTCAAAAAAAAAACATGGCATTCGGTGATGTTGTGAGCAAGGTGAAGTCTGGCGTTGATGGTGGCGATCTAATCTCGGTGGCGACTTCAATGTGAATGAAAAATTCTCTTTAGATCGGGTTAGGGTTTCTCTCAACAATTGAAATAATCGTTGATGACAAGCACTTGATACAAATTTATGGATCCAAAGAAACAATTTGATGTCGTTGGACATATCCAGCATCAACAAGTTCCTCTGGAACATAAATCTGTGATCCAAGTGCTTGTAACTCAACGAGCATCTCAATTGTTGTGGTACCATGTCTTATCGTGATTTTTCATCACCAGTCATGATTTCGCCACGATCAAGAAAACCCTAACCCTCTCTAAAGAGAATGGTGTTTTTCTGGAAATTCGCCATCTAATTCTTCATTGTGATAAAGATCAATGTCCTATAAAACTTCACCGTCTCACAAAGATCCCCGACATCGACTGAGCAATGAGACGGCTCCAACTCCACCGCCAAACCCTCCGATGCCCGGTGACATCTCACCTCTCACCCTTCCCTCTCTGTCTCTCTATAGTTCTATATGTACTAAGATACACTACATCTTTTATCCCGAATAGAACCATTCTACCGGCTAGATCTATGCTCTTAATGATCCTATAGATCTAACAATAACTACACCCTGAAAATTGTAATCAACGACAACAAATCCATACATTGTCTGCAAAAAAAGCTATAGCCTGTAGCGCAGCCTGCTCGTAACCAGGGCCAGAAAAATTATCCCCGGGTGCCCAAAAGAAAAAACTGTGGCATGGCGCTACAGCTCCAGAGGAAGGCACGTCAACTTCGACTCCATAGATAGGTGATCCATCGCCGGTCCTCTCGAACACCACCGACGCATATGGCAACCCGCAACGAGCTGCCACAGCCTGCAGCGGCGCCAGATATGATGCACGCACAGCAAACATCGCACCGCTGCGTGTAGGCTAAGAAATGGGAAAATCTGAACCGAGAAAGAAACGAGAAACGAACAAGCATCACAGCATCCGCCCAATGTGGGGAAAAGAGAGATAAAAAAAAGGAAATAATCACAATGTCAGACACATCTACGGAACTTGAATCCCATCTTGATCAAGGGAAGGACCATACCTACACGCAAGCCGTCAAGCTCAGCCCCGGGCGGACTTCCGGCGCAACTCCGGACGAGCTCCCCCGAGATCCGGTGCACCTCGAACCGAGTTCTTCCGAGATCCGCCGCAGGCGCACGCTCCGCCGAGACCCAAATCCCACTCCAATACCTACGAACCAACCAAGACCATCCGCGCGGAGGGGAGGACCATCAGACGCAGAGGAAAACCGAGGACGGAGAGAGGCATAACGGACCAATCCTGAAGCTAGGATTCCAGCAAGACGGGTCCCGCTTGACCGTACCGACGACGACGGCCCATGGTCAACGAAACCACCACCGTCGATCTCCAGACAAACGGCCGGCACATTCGTCCATCGACGTGGACACCGTGAGGCCGCGCTGGCTCCAGATGTTCTCTTGTCTTTAGATATGGGATGGGATGAACCGAGCCCATAGCATAGTGCGCACTACACGCAGCAACAGGCGCCTTGGGCCCACCTCTCAGCTTCATGGACACCATGCCCCCCAAAAATGGCAACCAGAAATCGATTTTAACCCTTTTCATCATCATATCATAATAACAAAAGATCTCCAAAAGTCCCATAAACTCATAGGAACCTATCTAAACACTCTTTACACTTAATCCAAAAATAAATTCGTATCCAATTCACTGAGATCCTTTTTTTTGGTGTAGACAAATAATTGATCTTGAAATTCTTTATCGATCCTTTGCCCTAAACCTTTATTTTAAATTGGATTAAGTCCTTTTTTAGCTCCTCAATTTTTGCCTTTGTCTAATTTTAACCTCCAACTATAAAACCATCTAAATTTAACACCTCAACTATCAAAATCGTTTAATTTTGACCTCATAGCCATGTAAAACCACTCAGAGTTGCCTCATTGGTCAAAATTGAATAGTTTTGATAGTCAGGGTTTTAAAGTTAGACAAAGGCAAGAGCTGTGGGGTTAAAAATGGACTTAATGAGGTACTTTGGTTTTTTAAATATTTATAAAAATTTTATATATTTAGATTCTCTCACTAATAAATATTTTTTTGAACAAGTTACTAATAAATATTTATATGTATTAATTTTTTGTCTACACATTATTAGATTTTTTCATGAAAAGAATTTTAAAAAATACATCATAAATTAAACTTTAGTACCAAACTTTTCTAAGAACATAATCTGTTTCATCGATATCTACAACTTTAATTTGAGTTATGTCTCCATCCAAGTTCATTCAAAAAATTTGAATTTCAAAATATGCAAACTTGAAACAGTAGTCAGCTATAAACTTATAGATCTTATTATCAGGATCTACAACTTTAGTGTTGGTAATTTCTTCATCTGAGATGTTTGAATAATTTGAAAATTTTTAGAACTTTAAATAGAATTTTAGGACCGTAAATAATTTTAATGAAAAGGTCGTCAATTGCAAAGTTATACATCTCATCGAGATGTACAAGTTTGTTATTTGTTATTTCTCCATCTGAGTTCATATTTATAAAAAAAATCTAATATATGAAATCCAATAAAGTGTAGATAAATATTATAAAGCATATAAATATTTATCAATAAGTAAATCTAAATATATAAATTTTTTCATAATATTTAAAAACTAAAGCACTTGATTAAGTCTATTTTTTGCTCTCAACTCTTGCCTTTGTCTAACTTTAGCACCTCAACTATCAATACGTTCCGTTTTGACCCTCAAGACGGTTTTAAGTGGTTTTCAGATGGCTTTGAATCAAAATTAAATGATTTTGATAATTGAGGTGCAGGTGCAAAAGTTTGACAGTTTTCTAGTTGCGGGGTTAAAATTAAACAATGGAAAGAGTTGGAAGAGCTAAAAATAGATTTAATCCTTTTAAATTATGTGTGTGATTGTTTGTACACTACTTCCTCCTTCCTCCTTCCTCCATCCTAAAATAAAAGAAGTCCAGAGTGAGCATATAATAGATGCCAAAGAAGTGAAAGGTTCAACAATCCAGACTACGAAGAGGAACTGCTGGCGGAGAACATCATCGAAGAGAAATTCTAACAATATTCCTTAATTACGTTGATTCTATTGAGTGAGTGAAAAGGTAGGAGACGAAGAACCCAAAAATAAGTCTCTGTAAATGAGAGAGAACCAAGGGTCAGTAAATCAGATCCACGGTACAGTACCTCAGCTGCACAGGATGACAGGAGGCTCATCCCTTGTAACAATCTCTCCCTCCCCCCACACACGCGCGCGCACACCAATCTATCTTCCTGTTTCGGCAGTTTACACTGGGAGCATCTCCAACAGATTACTCCTTTTATCCTCAGTACCAAAAACGTGCAATATAAGAGATTATATATAGTTGCCCCAACACTCATCCTACACATCGATTATTTCCAGATGAAGCTGAAAACACATGGTAGTAACAGAATTGCACAGATGTGCTGTCGTAAAGTCAGACAGATCACCGATTTTCAGATTTTATTAACTACATAATTTAGTAAGCGGATACAGTTCGGCAATTTCAGAAACTTCAGTAATCAAAAGTAGACGATGGGAATCAATACTATAGCTTTTACAGATCCACAAGATGGAGCTATTCCACCTTCATACTTCTATGTGACCATGTCCCCCTATAAGACAGCAAATGCTCTCTTCAGGGTAAACACTTCAATGTTTACAAACCCACCAAGCTAAAACATTGCCAGAGACGAATGCATAGCATGACAGGACGGAGACCAGGCCCACAAACTAGATTTGACTAAAACTTTCTAAGTCATCAGAATTCAGCAAGGAACGCTCGGCACAATTGAAACTATCAGCATCAAAGTCTCAAGGGCATGGAAGACATTGTCATCACCACCAAAGAGCGCAGTCACAAGACATAAGGGGAAATGAACATGGGCCAGAGGAAGTGGGTTTCAAAATATACATAGCAGACTAAAAGAGAGACAAACTTCGAGGTCGAATAACTTCATAACCCACTTTGGCAGCACTCCAATATGATCTAGATAAGCAGGCGGTGTCAAACTGAAGACTACTAGATAGTGACAGTAGCATCTTTGGATGACCAACAGGATCTGCATGTAGAGAGCCTTCCTCAGTTGTGTGAATTGCTGGAACAGTACAGTTTCCAAAATTATCAAATTAAGAAACATGGTAAGTACCAAGAGAACATTATAGCTCCCTTAAAAGAAAAGTAGAGCCTTACAGTGTGAAGCTATTATTTGCCAGCAATATATACAAAAATATGCCCAGGGATTTAGCAGTCATTTTCAAAATCTAGCAGAGATTGTGAATCATTCATAATAATTTATGTAGTCTGCATGGTTGGCAAAAGAAATAAAGGGTTCAAGGTTTCAAGAGGATGGTCAATTCAATATGATAGGGCATCAAATTGTTCCGCATAAAAAGTGCCTGACTGTGAGATGGTACCTTTATATTTACACTACCAACTTAGAGTCAAGTGCTGCTGCAACGTTTGCCTCTCCAGGGTCCTGCTTTGGAACAGATTGCTCAGCATTTTATATACACAAGACAAGATTTTGATTGCATTAAACTTACCTCCATTCCCCATTTAATGTAGTCTGGCGACTCACAGGCCTTGTATTCATCAACTAGGCTCTCTATTATCTCTCGAGATTCATCAAATTCAGAGAGATCATTGTCCTGCATGCAGAGGTCAGAGATCAGCATGTCGCACAAAAGAATGAAGTCATTCACAAGGTTGTACACAGTTGAAAGTACTGTTCTCAAGAAAATTTACATATGCCTGTCGTTACCAAAGGAACCATGTTGGCAATCATAGTCTTTGTAAGTAATAATGACACAGTATCTAAATTTCTTTGCAACTGCAAGATTAGAGTTTTAGTTGAATCGGCATCGGAAAGGTTCCTGAACTTGACAACGCCAACTAAGCAGGGAATAGAGTACTTTCCAAACAGACAGCTAAGTAAGCAGCTCAAAATATGCATGTAAGCTAAACAATTCAAAGCAATGAGCTAGGAGATTAAAAACTTGTTGAAATATGTTCTTACCGCAAACATTGGGAACTTCCTGTAGTTGTCAAGAAAAGCCTGCTTTTTCCTTAACTTCTCATATTGCCCCAGGCATTTGCTGAATAAGTGACGGATGCTCGTATGATTTGCTAACATCAGACCACTAACCTGTAGCACAGCGTTAATTAGTACAGCATCATCCATTTTCTTCAAAAGAAATAAAAGACTGGAATCCCACCAGAAGGTGAGGGAAGGAGGGAAGGTAGGAGGATGAGATCATTGTACCCTGTGGGTTGTTTGAACATATGGGGATTTTCTTGACAAAGCAACCTGTTGCAGTTGAGATGCTTACAAATTTTAATGACAGACAAGGAAACAAAAAGGTATTTAGTTGTGCGATAACCTGAATGGTTACAAAAAAAAAGGAGAACCTGAATGCTTGCAGGTGCCCAGTCTATAAAGTTAACAAGCTTCCTTTCGCGTATTCTTTGCAGGCTCTCATGAACCTAAATCCATGACAAGACCAAATAAAATAAGACAAAAAAAAGGGCGTACCCAGTGCAGAGAGCTCCCACTCTGTGCGGAGTCTAGGGAAGGATGTTAGTGGCAAGCCTTACCCTCGCCTGTGCAATGCGAGGAGACCGCGACTCGAACCCGGGACCTTCCGGTCACAGGCGGTAAGACTCTACCGCTTGCACCAGGCCCGCCCTTCACCAAATAAAATAAGACAGAACAAACAAATAATTTCATGGTACACAAAAGGAAAAAACTTAAACCATATCTTACTCCAACTAAAAGTTATTAACTAACAAATAATATGCCACCATGCTAGTATGTATGAAAATCCGTTTACGGATTTGTAGTGAAAGTTCATGTTGTTTTCAGCCAATGTGGAGTATATAGGAGTATAAGGAGAAAGGTGGATACAAATGTGCTTTGTTTGATGTAACGATGAAATAACACATCTTGAACTTTCATATGTTTCCAGCAACTTCTAGTAAAATGGGAAGAGAAGGAATGGTATGAAACTACCATGTTTTATCATGAATTCTTTATTTAGAATTTCAGATGACCATTCCAAGTATGTAACTCCTAAGTCTCACTACACTTCAGCATTTGGCAAATCTTATCTCATGATGCCAAATGCGTTCGGAAGGTTGCTTCAGAGGTGCTTGGAGTGACCAAAGGGAGCGGATGCGACTCGAAAGACACTTGGTGGTGGAATGAAGATGTGCAAAAGGCTATTAAGGAAAAGGAGTACTATAAGCGCTTGTATCATGACAGGTGTGCAAACAACATAGAGAAGTACAAGGTGGCAAAGAAGACGGCAAAACAAGCGTTGAGTGAGGCAAAGGGGCGGGCCTATGAGGACCTTTACCGACATTTGAGTACGAAAGAAGGAGAGAAGGACATATATAGGATGGCTAGGGCTTGCGATAGGAAGACAATGGACTTCAACCAAGTCAAGTGCATAAAGGATGAGAGGGAGCAGATCTTGGTGAAGGAGGATGAGATCAGACATAGTTGGCAAGATTATTTTGATAAATTGTTCAATGGTGAAAACGGGAACACCACCGTTCAGCTGGACGACTCGTTTAATGACACTAACAGACGCATTATGAGGATGATTCAAGAATCGGAGGTCAGAGAAGCCTTGAAAAAGATGAAAGGGGGCAAAGCGATGGGCGCTGATGGTATCCCAATCAAGGTATGGAGATGTCTCGAGGATATAGCTATAGTATGACTAACCAAGATGTTCAACAATATCTTTCGATCGAACAAGATACCTGAAGAGTGGAGAAAAGCATATTAGTACCAATCTACAAGAACAAGGGAGATATCCAAAGTTGTACTAATTATCGGGGAATTAAGTTGATGAGCCACACTATAAAGTTATGGGAGAGAGTCATCGAGCAGCACCTGCGAGGAACGACGCAGATATCAACAAACCAATTTGGTTTCATGCCCGGAAGGTCAACCACAGAAGCAATCTTCTTAATAAGACAGGTTATGGAGCAGTTTAGAGGGCAGAAGAAAGACCTCCACTTGGTTTTCATTGACTTGGAGAAGGCTTATAACAAGATACCAAGAAATGTTATGTGGTGGTCTTTAGACAAATATAAAGTCCCATCAAAGTACGTGACGCTCGTCAAGGACATGTACAACAATGTTGTGACTAGTGTTCGAACAAACGATGGTAACACAGATTACTTCCCGATTAAAATTGAACTTCATCAAGAGTCAGCCTTAAGCCCGTATCTCTTTGCCTTGGTAATGGATGAGGTTACAAGGAACATACAAGGGGATATCCCTTAGTGTATGTTGTTCGCTGATGATGTAGTGTTAGTGGACGAAAGCCAAGCGGGAATAAATAGGAAACTAGAGTTATGGCGGCAAACCCTTGAGTCTAAAGGTTTTAGATTGAGTAGAACTAAAACCGAATACATGAGATGCGACTTTGGTGGAGTTGTACAGGAGGAGGGAGATGTGAGTTTGGAAGGTCAAGTAGTGCCTAAGAAGGATACCTTTCGGTATCTGGGATCGATGCTACAGAGGGATAGAGATATTGATGCGGACGTTAGCCATAGAATCCAAGCATGGTGGATCAAGTGGCGACAAACTTCTGACATTCTCTGTGACAAGAGGGTACCACAAAAGCTAAAAGACAAGTTCTATATAATGGCGATTAGACCGGCTATGTTGTATGGAGTAGAATGTTGGCCTACAAAGATTCAACATGTTCAACAATTGAGTGTTGCTGAAATGCGTATATTGCGATGGATTTGCGATCACACAAGAATAGACCGAGTTCAGAAAGATGATATGCGTGATCGCCTAGAGGTAGCACCAATTAAAGAAAAGCTTGTCCAACATCGGTTGAGGTGGTTCGGTCATGTCCAAAAGAGACCTCCAGAGGCACCAGTGCATTGTGAAGTCCAAAGCCAAGCTAATAATATGAGGAGAGGTAGAGGAAAACCGAAATTGACATGGGGGGAGACAATAAAAAGAAATTTGAAAGCTTGGGATATACCTAGAGATCTATGTTTGAATAGGAGTACTTGGAAAGCAGCTATTGAAGTGCCTGAACCATGACTTGGGGCTCTTGGTGGGTTTTAACTCTAGCCTACCCCAACTTGCTTAGGACTATAAGGCTATGTTGTTGTTGTTGTTATCTCATGATGCTGTCATTAGATTTGACCAAGATATATCCACACTTCAGAAGAAAATTCATTTGACAAAACTGTACCTGTGTAGGGTCCACCTCCCCTTGAATGATGTTCAGTATGGAGATGTATTTAGCTTGGCTAGCTTCTTTTGTCCGAGCATATGATGACACCATTATATTCTTTGTCTGCAATATTTCATAAATAAAGGATTCAGACTTCATGAACACTTGATAGTTATCCACCCTTTCTACAGTAACCCCTTCTACAGTAACAGGTAATACCTGCAGAAGTCTTCTCATAACATCCAATACCGTCGTTTTGCGTATCATGTTAACCTGCCACATAGTACATCCAATATAACTGAATTGTTCAGCAATTCGCCCAAAACAAACACCAATTTTACTACTTTCCCTGTTTATTTTGATGAAGTGTCCCAAAATTGCAGTCAATGGACAAGCACAGGTAACTACAGATTCCACAAAGGCTACAAAATGTGACATAAAACATGCTACATGAACCAATGTAACTGAGGCAGAGGATATCAAATTACCTGGCGCTCAACAGTCAATGGAGTATAACCTGTCATCAAAAAATGACACCTTGGAGTGGGGATCAGGGAGGCAAGAAGGCCAACCAGATCATTGTTCATATATCCAGGATACCTCAAAGTAGTTGTGCTTGCAGACATAACTGTGGAGACCAAAGAGTTTGTTTGTGCAAAAGTAGGATTTGATAAATGAAGACGCTCGACGGCAATCCTATTAAGAGCCGTATTGTCAAGAACAACCACACAGTCAGCATTCAGTGTCAGCCGCTTCAGAGTTAAAAGTGAGTTGTAAGGTTGGACAACAACATCACTTGTTTCCATCTGATTTGGGAAAACACTATATGTCTGCACAAGCTTTTTACTGTATCGATCATTCAGTGTCTCTAACAGATAAGAACCCATACCTGAATGAACATGGGCAACAGGACAGTTAAGACAAATGGTAGGAGAATAACTGTTATAATGTTTCATAATAACAAGGCAATATCCAATCTACAGTGAGTCAGATGGTAGGCACCACGAAATACTCCAAGTACAATACGAAGTCATCAACAGAGAAGTGAGAGTAGAATAGAAAAGTGAAAAGAAAGGAAATCAAAATATGAGAGCGAGATAGCCAACCTGAACCAGTTCCACCAGCAATAGAGTGACAAAGGACAAAACCCTCAAGGCTATCACTTCCATCTGCTTCTCTGTCAACCATGTCCATGATATCATCAACAACTTGTTCACCCTATGAGAATATCAAAAGGCATTTGAGCATTTCTTTCTAAAACAAGAAAAAGGAGCAATTGGCCTAGTGACAAAACAAGCAAATCTACAAAGCCTGCAAGATTGGTTCATCCGGTGGAAACTGCAAACCTAAGGTGCAAACAGAGATACATGGCGCAGCTATACCTGATGATACCCACTGGCCCAGTTGTTCCCAGCACCACCACCATGCTCAGCAACAAATATGTTCTCATGGTTGTATAGGTTCCTGTACTCGCTGTTCTGAATTCCATTGATCACTCTAGGCTCCAGGTCAATAAGCAGAGACCTGGGTATGAAGTGCTGATCATCAGCCTGGTAAAAGAAGACGTCCTTCCTATCGCCCCCCTGCAGGTAACTTAAATTAGAGCTAGCTCTTGCTTAATTTAGCCTTCCCAGATAAACAGAAATGGTAAATCCTGTATCCACCCAGTACAGACTGAAATGTAAGTGTTACAGTGGATGCTTTTAAGGGCTGCACAATTAGGTCGGAGAAGCAATTTCCAGCATAATGAGGCACATGATACATGGGTGTAGTAAGTTCAAAATGTTCATTTAATTTCTTGTATGCAGTTCTCGTTAATTTCAGCTAAATCTATCACTATACACCGATACCAAAACCACTTAAACACTAATCCATTATGACTGAAAAAAAAACGTGTTCACACTTCAATGAAAGCTAAATTCCGCACCAATACCAGTTGAAATCTCCGAAATTTTCACAAAGATTTAAGCATGACTTGTGAGAATTCTACTAGTGCGCAACCTACAGCAGAGGTCTGAACACAAGCCACCTGGCCTCGCCGCCATATCCACAAACAGCACAGATCAGTGCACCCGCGGCGCTGATCTCGAGCAACCCAGAAACCGCCATCAATCCACTCACCGCGGCCACCGCATGAGGGAGAGGAGCACTCGGACAGGTCACGCTGACGTAGGCGCAGAGAGCCGGGGAGAGAGGGGAATGGGGGGGCGTGGGACGTACCTGAGTGGCGAAGTCCTCGAGGAGGCCGTCCTTGCCGATGCCGTGCTCAAGGCAGAGCTGCTTCCAGAACTCCATCCCGATCTGGTTCCCACATTGCCCCACCTGGATCGTGATGATCTCGCGCGGCATTTTTCCCCCCTGCTCCGGCGGCGGCGGGAGAGGGAGAGGGGAAGGGGGTAGGGTTAGGGTGCTGCGAGGCTAGGGTAGGCCGGGGCCGGAGGGAAGAAGCCCGGCCGGTGGCGGCGCCGGCGGAGGCTAGGGTTTTGGGGGTTTGCTTGGTTTGGACGCGAGCGCGCGCCAACTGCGAGTGCGATTGGTGGCGGTGGGAGCGGGAGGTGACGACTGACGAGTGACGAGGCGGAGGGGAAGCAGAAGAGGGGCGGACCCGGCGAGATTTTGGAGGAACGAAACGAAATGGGCGCAATTTTCGAATTTCCATGGGTATTATGGAAGCGGTCCAAGCAAATTCATTTTTTGTTGGGTAGGGCTCCGATTTTTATGGGCTCCGGTTTAGCTCCTAGCAGCTTTTTTAAAGCTAAAACCGTTTCAAAAACATTTGGTAAAAACAGTACTACTGGTAGTTTTATAATAATTCGCATTCGATTTGTGAGGAGAGTAAGGAGAAGCCATTTATTTTGGCTCCGGCTCTTTTTAAAAAAAATAGCTCTAACTCATTCGGACTTTTTGTAAGAAGCCTTTTTTTAATGTTGTTTTGTTGTATGAGAATAACCCTGGGCAAAAATAACCGAAAACTGAGAACCGAACCGAAATAACCGAAACCGAAACCGAATTAACCGAAACCGAAAATTTCGGTTCCTAGTTCGGTTTCCAGTTCTCATGAACCGGAATAATGTCGGGTAATTCGGTTCCAGACCTCGGTTAACCGAACAAAACTGAAGAACCGACTTAAAAGGCTTGCCCTCGGTTTATATCCCGGCCCAAACAGGCCCAGGCGAGGCCCGATAACGTATTCAGTATAAATACAGAACCTTTAGGGTTTCTTGACTCCTCCCTCACTCTATCTTACCGCACGCCTCCTTCTCCCACCGAGCCGCCTCTCCCTTCCGGCCTTCCCGAGACCGAGACCAAGCGCGCCTCTCTCGGTCTCTCCGCTCCGTCCTCCCTCTCCCTCTCCACTCTGGCCTCCCTCTCTTTCTCTTTCTCTCCCTCTCCATTTCCAGAGCCTGGGGCGCGTCCCCTTTTAGCAAGGCTGACGCCGGGGTCGCGGGGCCGCGCCCCCTCCTCCGACGACAACAAGCGGCGCAGCAGTGGGCACGACACCTCCTCCAATGATGGCACGGCCTTGGGGTGCGCCCCCTCCTTCAATCATGGGAGGCACGGCGGCGGCCCTCCCACACCCGGGCACCTCCACCACCGTCCCATGGTGGATATACGGTGGAGGCGCGACCAGATCTATGGTGGGCCCGCCCCACAGTGGATCTAGGCTCAAGCGCGCTTCCCGACAATGGATCCACCGCCTCCCACTCCCCCAGTCCTCCCCTATCGCCGTGTTCGCTTCACTGAGAGGTCGAGGCCTAGTCCGATGCGTGCCCGCTGCCCTGGAGGCCGGATTTGGACGAAGGGGTGACTGCCGTCGTTTTTTTTCATTTTTTCCCTTTTCTTCCCTTCTGTTTCGCTGATGTAATGTATGGCTCGGTTAGTTCGGTTCTAACCGAAACTGAACCGAACTAACCGAGACCGAATTTCCTCGGTTCCAAGTTCTCTAGCTAACCGATGGGTTCTAAGTTTTGTGCTAACTGAATTTCGTAAATAACCGAGGAACCGAACCGATCGGTTTCGGTTAACCGAATGCCCATCGTGACCTGAGAAGCTCGAAGGCTGGAACCGAAACCCTGCCAAATGAGACCTCGTTTGGTTATATCTGCAGTTCTAAGCTTCCATTGCCCCTTTTCATATGATTCACATGTATTTTGCATTTTGCCAAAGCTTCAGCAATGTCCCACGTTTGTCTCGGCACAAAATTCTTTAGACGATCCAAAAAATTATGTATATATATTAGTATATATATAAACTAAGCACTCGGGTGGTGTGGACCAAGCCCTCGCCCGGTTAGTTGAAGGGTCCATCCAAAACTATGCTCATTTGGACTCTAGCCGAGGAATCTTCAGGCTGTGTTCGTTTGGCAGGGAACGGTGACCAGAAACCGTTCCTACCAGGAATGCTAGTGTAATTTGTATGGCCAATCCTCACCGAGAACTATTCCTGGCCAGGAATGGCCATAAACGAATGAGCCCTCATGCTTCTTCAACGGAGATCATGCCATTGTTGTAAAACATGATTAACAATGAATGTCTCTGAGTCAAAGATACTATGCTCGAAGGTCTTGTTGAAATTTTTATAAAATTCTATTATGTTCATAAAAGAAACATTATAAACACTTATAACTTTAAATAGATGTATACTATGAAATATATTTTGCGACAAATCTAGTGGTATATATTTAGTATGATAAATATTAATATCTTTTATATAAATTTGATCAAACTTAAAATCCTTTATGATAGAATTTGCATCATTTCTAAATGGAGGGGGCATTGTTTAAGAAGTAACGCCAGTGTGCAGTTAAGGTATTGATCAATTGGATCTAGACATCTTGAAACACATTCTATATTTACCACATCACGTTCTTGTTACTGGATCATGCCTCTCATGCATTTGGTAGCCCTGGTTGTTTGGTTCATGCTTTGGTTTGTCGGACCTTTTGAAAAAGTCCAAATTACTCCCCCCAAGTTTGGTCTCTCCCTCCCACCTCTGCGGAGGTTGTTGTTGTTGACCTCGATCAAGTGGTCGACGAGGCACTTGAGCTCTTGCAGCGGAAGGAGGACGGCATCGGCGAGGCGCTCGACGTGGTGCATGCGCGCCAGCAGTGCCGGGGTCGAGTACGCGACGGCAGCTCCTGCACCAGGCCAGCACTACCGCCTCAGGTCATCCAAGGGGAATTTTGTTATTTTTAACACTTTTTTAAACTATTTTCAAATATGACACTGTTTATTTTGTTTCAAAACTAACACTTTTGGACACGCCTATTGCCGTGGCGCGGCGAAATAACGCTGACACGCCATGCATGGGGGCGCGGCAGGAGCGGCGACGTGGCAGCGAAAGGTGGTCAGGCGACGGACGGCGTGGTCGGGCCGTCGCACCACCGGATCGTAGTGACTGCCGACCGACGCGCCCACGCCGCATGGCGCGGCAAGGCCTCCTCTTCCCTTTCTCTCCATTCCTTTCTCTTTCTCCTTTGTCTCATTCGCCGCCGCCCGACACCGCCACCACCTGCCCGACCGCGCCGCCACCCTCCCGTCGTGCCCGCCATGGCCTTGGGCCCTCCACCACGCCTCCATCCCTCCCTCTCTCTCTCCCCCATTCCCCCTTGCGAGGCCATACCCCCCTCGGTCCGCCCACACCCCTCCTTCTTCCTGTTTGCTGTCTGCAGGCATGGACCAGTGACGGCCGAGGCCAGCCGGGAGGCCTCTCCGTCTCCTAGGGTGGCCCCCAGAAGGTCCCCCATAGTAGCTAAGGTATTTCCCCTCTCTAAGACCCTAAATTTCGTGATTTTGGTTTTTTATTAAACTGATTATGGTTGGTGATTTAGTTTAGTTAGTTAGTTAGGTTTTAGGGTTTAGGTTATATGTTGTAGTCTAGTTAGGGTTTAGTGTTTGGTTAGGTAGATTGAGTTTAGGTTTTTGTTAGTTAGGATTTAGGTTTTAGGGTTTTAGTTAAGGTTTAGGTAATTCGTAGTAGTAATTGTAGTTAGTATACATAATATGTTTTTAGTGTTGGTACTTAGTTAAGGTTTAGGTAATTCGTGGTACGACGATTTTGATGACTTGATGAAGTTTCTTGAAATGCTTTTGTAGATAGATTGATGTGTCAGAGTTTTTTATGGAGGAAGTGTTGGGAGAAAAGATGGTATGTTTGAGGATATGGAAGAAGAATTAGAATGGTTTGATGAACCTCTTAGCTTCAACGATCTTTGTGTTCGTTTGAAGGGGAAGTTTGAAGGTGATTTCACACTGAAGGGGAGGTTTGATAGTGGAAAGACTAGGGCACACTACGTGTTGATGCCCTTACGCGACCATGCTCACTGGTCCCACTACAATAGGGTAATCCAAGGTTCCAATATGGCCATAGCTGAGGTGGTGGTGGACAATGGGTACAAGATGCATGGTCTCTAGGAGGGGACGTCCTTCGACGGTGATACTCAACAAGAATGTGGGGTCCATGTGGAACCAATTATGGGTACTATGGATTTGGATGGTCAGTTGACGCAGAAGCAGCTTCATTTAACTCCAGTAGGCTGTATAAGCAATGACTTCGATGTGAACGAGTTCAAACGGGAAGAGGAGGAGCAGGAGGAGGAGGACAGGATCGGTGATGTAGTTAGCAGTGATTCAGACGATTCGGATGATAACCAAGGAGGTAGAGATGCTATGCCAACACCGGTTGATGCCATGCCAGTACCGGTTCATGCTATGCCATTACCAGTACCAACTAAGGTACTTCATGCTATGCCGGCTCAGGGTAGACTAGTCATAGATTTGCCAGAGGATGATACCCCTTATGATTTATGGGCTAGAATTAGCGAAGCACAACAGTACGTTCCACCACCACCTTACACAGCGACATAGCTTATGCAACTAAGGTCGATGAACGTACCTTTTAGTGGCGTTCCGAACTATAGGGATGTCAGCATGACAGATATGACAGTTTGTGACACCGATCTGCAGATGTGTAGGAAATTATTGTATGACCATGAGAATGAAATCCTTAGCAAGGGAATGATATTCAATACAATGTCAGAGATGAAGCTATTCCTTCAGGACTATGCTGTCTATCACCATAGGCCGTACACCGCCACTTACTCGGATCATGAGTTGAGGTACCACGTGATATGCAAAAATGGTTGTATGTGGAGGTTAGATGCACAAAAGAGATAGAATGGTACGACCAGCTCGTGTTCTGTGCTCATGTAACTTCTTTTCCTGAAACCTTGCATGAGCCACCTCTGCGGCATGGTCCTCGCTGCATCTAATCCCTTCATATATAAAATACAACCAGTTAGAACGCGATTATATTACATTTAAAAGCAGGCAACGAAAATAACAAGGCTTTCAATCACTCATTGGCACACAATGCAACAACATGGTTGTTCAAGACCTGCATCTGTACTCTTGCCTCTTCCCTTGCCTCCTTCCTTGCCCTCTCCTCCTCTGCCTTCCTCCGTCTCTCCAACCTCAATTTGTCAAGCCTAACACCGATCGGGTTACGAAAAACCGCGCTGTCTAGCAAATTCACGCAACTTTTTTATGTGGTCTTTAACAAAGAGGTCGACGAACTGAGGTCCATAACCAAACTTCCGTGTAATTACTTGCTTCGCCTTAATTTCATCCAGGAACTTAGCTTGACCATCATAAGATTCCCACTTGCATTTTCTAGTGCTATGTTCAAACGAAAAATTAGATTATAAGTCTTCGTAGTAGAAAAATATGATTTCATATTTTCCACAATAATAACCAACCTCATCATAGTCAACCATATGGCCGCACCAATGGCCTATTCTAAGCTTCGAAGGGACTAGGCCGTAGTTGGCTTTAACACCACATTCACACGTGACATGAGGTGCTTCGATGATTATCCTTTCTTTCTTCCTTTCCTTTGTCTTTGGCGGCTTCGGCCATTGATTCTGAGGACCATAGAGAAACTCCTTAAAATGACACTTCGTAAATCCAAAGCGCTAAAAGAGAATAGATTAGTACATGCACGCATAGAGCTAAATATACTTTCCATTTACTTCGTACTTGTTGGGACACACAAACTCCAACGTATTTTCAGGGTTTATCATAACTCGATCTCTGCAATCGCACAGAGGAGATTCCTCGAGCTGTCTAACTGCGGCTATGTGCTTCTCCTTAGCCATCATTGGCGAGGGGTTATGGGGAGGTGGAACCCACCGCTCGAAGTGCTCACGTGGATGTCTCCCTCTCCACCAATCATCGAAAAGGAGGTACCTTGGTCAAACTTGCCTCGACCATCGATCCACTAAAAGAAAAAGCACCTCTTATGGTCCTACACAACAAGATTCCATCAAAATATTAGTAATCTATTAACACAAATGAAGAAACAATGATACAGAGACAATTATTTACATTAAAACGATTGCATGTGTAGAAGCAACGCGCAGCTGTGTCTGAAAGTCTCGATTGAAACACATCGGTCGGAAAAAAACACAGTCACAGTTTAGGACATAAAGGTCAGGAGGGATGGGGACATCTTTGCTAGGCACGTCGGGGTATAATTCTCTAGGACGATCCTATTTTCGCCACAACTGCTCCCGATACATGTCTTGCATCAAACAAAACGGTTCAAATTTAACACCAATAAAAACATCGGAAATTAATCTAAAAGGAGAACCATTTGCATCACAACTAAACAAAAAATAACCAGCACTTATGAACAAAAATATACCTTACACTAAACATGGTAAACTTACTTCTAACTAACTAAACCTTAACATTGATAATCCTGATCCTTATCCTTGAATCCAACATTCTAACGAACTAATATTTTCCTACAAACCCTAACTACCAATTCAAATCCTTGAATCCACCATTCAAACAACTAATAAGAGTATTATTACCTTGACCGAGGCCGAGGAGGAGCTTGGGGGAAGGTAGGGAGGGAGGTGGCAAGGGAGGGCAGGGAGGGCGTCCGGCTCGAGGGAGTCGGGAGGCATCGGCGCGGCAGCCTCGAGCAGGCTCAACTCCAGTCGAACAAAGGCAGACAGAGGGAGGAAGCCTGCGGCGCAACAGTTAAGTCGGGCCTTGTCACGCCATGATCCACGGCGCGTTAGGATGTGACACGTTATCGGCCAGCGTAAACCCTGGACAAAAGTAACCGAGAACCGAAAACTGAATCGAAATAACCGGAACCAAAACCGAAAGAACCGGAACCGAAACCTAAAGAACCGGAACCGAAAAATTCGGTTCCTTATTAAGGAACGGAAATAACTAAAAAAAATTGGTTCCTACTCTCGGGCCGAATTAACCGAAAGAACTGAATTACATGAATGATACTTCACTTACTTGTATTTTGTAAGATTATGTTTAGTTTATATGTGATGTTTTATATTTGACCTACTATATATTTGTGTTACTATATTGCTATTGTTTTCTTATAAATTATTATTATTAAGAATTAATATAGTGTTGCATAAATTTGCCTTCACGTGGCCACTTTTGCCGCGCCGTCATGCATGGCGCGGCAGCGTGATTTTGCCGTGCCATGCGAATAGGCGTGGCTAAAAGTGTTAGCTTTGAAAAAAAATTAAACAACGTCAGATTTGAAAAATGTTAAAAAAAATCACCAAGGGCGCCCTGATGCGGTGCGTCCGCGCGAGCGCGCGCCGCCTGGCCCCATGTGAGGTGCACGAAGCCGTGGCTGCCGGGGAGGGCGTCGTCGAGGTACACAAACCGCCACCAGGCGGCGCTCTTGGGGCGCGGCCGCAGCGCGCCGGCCGGGTCCACGGCCTCGGCCACGTTCTCCGTCATCTCGTGCAGCGCGCACGAGAAGCCGTACGAGGATGTGGACTTGACGCCGCAGAGGTCGGGCGCCAGCTTCAGCTGCCGCTCCGCGTCGTCCAGGCCCATCGCCGCCGCCGGCGCCGACGCCGACGCCCTCTCCACCCACCCGCGTTTCTGGCGGCGGTCCAGCCAGCGCGACTGCTGCACGGCGCTCAGGTGGTGCGACAAGTTGGTCAGCCTGGCCGCGCGCACCGGCACCCAAGAGTACTTCTCTTCCTCTGCGGCGCTACTGCTGCCGCCGGCGCCGCCACCGGCAGCTCGATCTCCTCCTTCCATGAAGTCGAAGCCGACTCCAACAGAACGCGCGAAAAAGAAGAGCTTCTCGATCAAATCAATTGATCGGATCTCGGGGCAATTGCACTCGATCTGCCTTTACATACACGTACGCCGCCAACCGAACGTACCAGTGTCGGATGTCATGCGGATTGTTTAGGACCGCTTCGCTCCGCGTTTTTCAACCAAAGTTTTAGCTCCATGCACATGGTTTGATAAAAAAGTTCCCCATGCACATGGTTTGAGAAAAAAGTGTGGAGCCATGAGAACACCTAGAGAGATGTTTTTTGTGTGAAGCTGCTCTACGGTAGAGTTTGTAGAGCAGGGTTCACGAAACAATCCCAAACACACCCTGATTCTGGTCCAGGCCGGGCCCATCGGGGGTAGTGTCGAATCGAATCGGGAGCCTCCGTGACCGTGAGTCAGATCAAACCAACGCTAAGCCACAATACATAAGAGTTTTGAATCATGGTACATGGGCCCTGTTTGTTTCCGCTTATAATCGGCTTATCGGTGGAAATAAGCAAGAATCCCGCCAAACGCTTTGCTTATTTCCACCGATTCTCGCTTATGTGGTAAGCCGCTTCAGAGATTTGAACTACGAGAAGCGAAAAGCGAGAAGCGAGAAAATCTTCGCTTAGATTATAATCCAAGCGTGCTGGGAGAAGCGGAAACAAGGGCCATGGATTATTTCAAACAAGCTGAGCTAGTATCGGCACTTCATCTTACAGGGCAACCAACAACAAATATGCAATAACGAAGCCAACAAAAACCCACCCCACCGGCAGAAGACCCTCAACATAATCTGGACCCCAAAAAGAAACATTTGTGTGCTTGTATGTATTTTCGACACTGATGAATAATTTCTTTCCTCAAATCTGTAACCTACAGATACTATATACAACAACACCCTCCCCCTTAACCGTTGCCGATCTCGTTTTGGGGAAGAAAACAGGGTCGTGAGGAAGCTGAGGACCTTCAGCAGCGGTTGGGGTGGCTGCCTTGGCTTGCTATCCCGCCCTTCTCTAGGCTGCAACTGGTTCATTTACAGAATGAAAAACACCGGAATTAACCTGTTGGAGACAGCATCGCTTGCACTTGTTCAGATTTGTGGGCCAAGAAATGTGATAGCAACAAGAAATGAGGGCATCGATCAATGTATAATACCTTGGCTGCTTTGAAGAGCTCATCCAGGACCTCGGACAATGTGGGGTGAGCGTGAACAGCAAACTTGATGTCCTGCAACACAAACAATTTGTACCGTTCAAGATGAACTAGTTAGTATGACAGAATCCAACAAAGGTGGATACTTAATAAAAAAAAATAGATTGTCAGCAACACTCACTTGCACACGAGTTCCTAGGGCGATGGCATTGGACGCCTCGTGGATGAGATCAGCAGCATGCAAACCCAAAATGTGAACCCCAAGAATTTCACCCGTGTCAGGTCGGTAAATCAACTGCAGTGAGGAGCACATATTGTCAAATTCTGTTAGTGCAAAATTGCGAAAGCACAGGTGTCAATTCTGGAGAAACCATGAACTTGAAGTAGCAAACAGAATGACCTTAGCAATCCCATCTCCTTCATTTTCTGCCAAAGCTTTAGTGTTTGCCTTAAAGCTAGTCTTCACAACATTTACCTCAAATCCTTCTTTGTCTGCCTTCTCTCTGGCTTGTGGCTGATAAAGTTTCAAAAACAGTACATTAAGCAAAAAAAATAAGGCGTTGCCTATTTATAGCCTTTCATATGTACACTATTAATTGCAGTCAAATGGGCAAAATACGACCATTAAGAAAATCATGCCCAAATATTCAGCCAATGAAATTCATGAACATTGATTAGACGGGAATGCATGAAAAGGACATGTCTAACAACTTCAATAAGAAGATAACTTACCTCTGTCAGTCCAACCATACTAATCTCTGGATGAGTGAAACATGCGGCTGGGATGCTTAAATGATTTAGGATGTGATCCTTTCCAGAGATTTGTTCAACAACTGCATTTGAATAGGAATTCAACATAAGACAAGTACACAAATAAGCTTGCTCCAAGAAACCACAAGAAAACGGAATTCTCAAGTACCTGAAATTCCTTGTGCACTGGCAGCATGGGCAAGCATGAGTTTGCCATTGGCATCTCCAATGCAATATAAATTGGGCACCTATGTAATATTATATGTGAATTATGCGGAAATCTTGAGGCGATACTTGTTCTAAAGAAAGAAGTCGCGCAATAAAAGGTGCAAAGAAGTCGCGCAATAAAAGGTGCAACATACCACATTGCCATCTGCATCCATGACTCGCATCCGTTCATCAACAGGCACAAAACCACGTTGTGTAACGACATTGATCTGAAGAAAAGGAAAATAAGCTTCAGCATTCTTGTATTTTAAAATGTAGTAAGATCTGGTAGCTACTAGGTTCAATTTCTAGATACTCACGTTTTCCAAGCCAAGCCCTTTGGTGAATGGTGCCCTTCCTGTGGCGATAAGAGCTGCATCAACCTACACAAATTTCCAACCTCCCCAGTGAGCCATTGTGGTTAACTTATAAAGAATCAAATGGTAAATTGGAAAGCTAGCAGAAATGTTTTATGTGCACTCCAATGAGATTTACAGAATTACAGTGCACTTGGTCTTGCTTACCATATTGTTGCTTCTGATGACTATTTGCATTTGCAAATAGACTTATGATTTTGAATATCTTAAATTTATATGGATTGACATTACTACATTCATTACAGAAGCAATTTCATAATATATAAATGTGTTCTATATAAAATAATATATGTTCTATAGATGTTGTTAGTCAAAGTGTCACCTTGAAGATTGTGTCAATGTCCTAACGGACATACATTTCTGTTCGAATGAAGTAGAATCATAACATATTATTGATACAAAACATTTCTACTACCTGATTTTGATTACAATGCTTGTAACAAGTAACTGTAACAGCATTCGTGCTCAACCAACTATACATATGGCAGGTATAGGACCAACGAAGCATTCACTCAGTAAAGCCATGCAGCTCTAGACAACGAGATAATAAAAGATTATGTTTGTTGTACTTGCACCGGTGTACCATAACAAAGAGATGACTGGCAAAAGTAATCCACAAGAACAAAAGCAAGTTGCCAAAGATTGAAAGATATCAGAAATATTACCTCAAGGGTTTCTTTGTGCTCCTTTGTCTTTGCATCAATAAGCTCGATGAGCACAGGTTTTCCGTCCTTTGCTGGAGTAATCTAGTGAAAATCCATAGACCATTCAACATACAGATTATTCAACCAGGTCAAAAAAAAGTCTGGAATACTTTCAGAAAGCTAGACCAAAGGTGAACCTTGCTTGCAAAAACACCAGTGTGATAGTCAATTTTCCGAGGATTGATAAGAACTCTCTGGGCTAATTTTGCAATTTCAGGATCAAATCCAGGCATCAGCTGGTCAAGAGCTTCAACGAAAGTAACCTGCCCAATTTTGAATTGAGTAAATTCAAGTGACAATTAACTCACAACAACCATGTTCAACAGGCAACTGCAGATAATGTGTAAGGAGCATCCTAGAATCCATCCAGCTTAACTGAATTATTTAGCATTTACTTTGGTTCAAAATGATGGAATCATATTTTGCACGATAGCCAAACAATCAGTGGAGTTAAGATGAAAAATCAGAGAAAATAACAGCAGATATATTTAAAGAACACAAGAACACTGCAAGTTTCATAGTTTCTCTGGTGCTGTGGACAATGGTTCTTGGAGAAAGCAACCTAGCAAATAATTTCAAAGCAAGAGCTTCTAATGTACCTCACTTCCAAGAGCTGTGTATACATCACTGAACTCAAGTCCAATGTAACCACTTCCAACAATAGCTATCCAGTCTGGAACTGACTCAAGTTTCAGTGCATGATCACTGGTAAATACAGTTTTCCCTGCAAATAACCATCCGGCAGAATTTTGTGAGAACAAACAGAACAAGGAAAGTACACCAAAAATGACAACTAATACACCACATGTTACAATAAAGAATGCACCCAATGTTTATATCTCTAATGCGCTAAATTTCTAGGCTTGTTTGTGATGTGACAAAAATTGTGCCAGCAACAACAGAATGGTCACAAGGATCACATATCCAGTTTTCGCTCTCAAAATATGAATTCAACACTGAAAAATCTCTAGAAACAGGCATATGACTGTATGGATATTCAAGACATAACAAATGGCACCTTATGCTTTGCTTTTTGTCCCTGGTGATTCCAGATCCAACCTAAATCAATGTGGTGGGATTGGATTCTTGGTGCTACAACATTATAACATTTGGGTCTTTCTAACTGATGAAAAGCAAAATAGCCAGAGTTGAATTAAACAAACAGACAAGAAAAAAAGAATTTCGTGTAACACTGAATTCAACACTGAAAAATCTCTAGAAACAGGCATATGACTGTATGGATATTCAAGACATAACAAATGGCACCTTATGCTTTGCTTTTTGTCCCTGGTGATTCCAGATCCAACCTAAATCAATGTGGTGGGATTGGATTCTTGGTGCTACAACATTATAACATTTGGGTCTTTCTAACTGATGAAAAGCAAAATAGCCAGAGTTGAATTAAACAAACAGACAAGAAAAAAAGAATTTCGTGTAACACTGAATTAGGAATGACTGCATCAATATGAACCACCAGAAAGTTTTGAAAAGCAGAACAGTGCCGAAAGTCACAAGGTGCATTAAAAATGGCTATCACACTACAATTCACGGCCATATCTATATCCTCCTCATTATGGGTATTGAAGTTCAATAGAACTGAACTGAATAGTTTTTTTTATAATAAATCACCAGCATGCACCATAAGTCCATAAGTTTCCTAAAGTAATGAGTTTTCAAAATTCAAAGAGAACTCAAACAGAGAAGTGTTTACCATCAATCTCAATCCCTTTGGGAACAAAAGGAACTGAACCAGTGGCAATTATGATGTTCCTGGCAGTGATTTCTTTATCTGGGAAACCGGCTTTTCCATATCGTACCTTTTGCTTTCCCTGATCAGGACATCAGTGAAAACATGTTAGAACATGCACTTTGTATAACTACAGAGAGCTCATTTTTCACATTCATAGATAAGATCTTGTTACACATTATCTCACTGGACATAATTAACGTCATAATCTTCACCAGAAATATTCAGGTTGTTTCATTTCTGGTTAGGTCATGCAGTTAACTTTTAACTGATCCATACCCAACTAGTCTTCAATCTGCTCATAGATTACAGATATGTGATTTTGCTCAAGTTTATGCATATTAAGAAAAAATCAACATAATTGATTTTTTTTTTTTTTAAAGTAGGGACAAACATAGTTATTAACAAATTAAAAACAGTATATAGGGCACGCAAACTAAATATTTAGCATTAATAATTGGGAAAAGTCTACATAACCCCCTCAACTATTCGGGTGGACTACTTACCCCCCCAAACTATAAAACCGGATTTTCTACCCCCTGAACTTTCCAAAACCGGTCAAATAACCCCCAGACGGTTTTGGACGGTGGTTTTGGTACAGTGACAGTGGTTTTGTCTTATTTATTTCTGCTGAATCTTTGAAAAATCATAGTAAATCACAGAAAAATCATAAAATGGAAAATCCAATTTTGTTGGACTCCACATGAGTAGATACACAGTGAACATATAATACGGTATGCTTTAGTATAGTTTTTGTTGTAGCATTGGATCTATGCTTTTCTGTAATTAATTGGAATAATTCATACCTGCAGCTTCTATGGCCCAATTGTGGTGAAAATTTTATGGTGGGCTAATTATTGTATGCTTGAACTGTAGTAAAAATTTCATACTTATTGGATCATGTATAACTTAGTTATAGATTTATTTAGGTTTATGCTTGTTAAATCTATGCTTTATCTATAACTAAGTTATACATGATCCAATGAGTACGAAATTTTTACTATAGTTCAATCATACAATAATTAGCCCACCATAAAAATTTCACCACAATTGGACCATTGAAGCTGCATCAATGAATTATTCCAATTAATTACATAAAAGCATAGATCTAAAGCTACAACAAAAACTTTGTACTAAAGAATATTGTATTATATATTCACTGTGTAGACCTATTCATGTGGAGTCCAACAAAATTGGATTTTCCATTTTATGATTTTTCTGTGATTTACTATGATTTTTCAAAGATTTAGCGAAAATAAATTTTTTTTTTTAAAAAGACAAAACCATCGTCACTGTAGCAAAACCACCGTCCAAAACCACCTGGAGGGTTATTTGACCGGTTTTGGAAAGTTCAGGGGGTAGAAAATCCGGTTTTATAGTTTGGGGGGTGAAGTAGTCCACCCTAAATAGTTGAGGGGGTTATGTAGACTTTTTCCATTAATAATTCCTCCAAGTGTTGTCGAAGTTCAATAGTACACAGCAAAGTTTATATACAATTTTACAAACACATGCAACTCTGAATTATCAACCTCCGGCGAAAGAACAGGGACAAGATTCTCATGTACATAACTGTTTGTTCCACATCAATCAAGGACTATAGATAACTTACCACAATAGTGCCAACACCTGTCAATATATCCACTCCCAGAGCTTTCATTGAGTTAGTCAAGTTGCTACGGATTTTCGAGGCAAGATTGTTTGCGTGATCAGCAACACCTTGCCTGTCATATCCAGGAGAGGAAACCTGTTACAAGGTAATATGCCTAACAATTCAGCATCAATCAGGATAATAGATATAACATGTTCAAGTAAGAACTGCTAATGACCATAGGAAATGGTTGAGACCTTCACGTGTCTCCTAAGAACAAGCAGAATCCTGGTTTAAATTGTTGATTTTTTTTAGTGGGGGGTGGGGGATTACTTTAAAAAAGAGTAACATGGGCATATAGTAACTAAAGCCTTGCATCCATACGATTAATGCATTTGACTAATTCAAATTTAATTGTTAATTTTACACTTGTGGAGGTAAATATAACCAGGGAACCTGAATCTTGCACTGTATGTTCTTCCCTTTCTATCACAGCTTTACTTTGTCCTGTCTATTGGGTTCCGACAAACACCAAGAAAGATTTGACTCTAAATGAAGAAATTGGAATGAACAAATTAAGTAGAATTCTACTAATTGCCATTAACATGGATACAGTTAGGTGCTAGAATGGACAAAAGTACTCAGACAAGCTCCTAGATGTAGTTTTTGTCAATTTTGCACTATACATGAGCCAATTGGAAACAGCAAATCAAAAACTGCTCTTGCCCAATTCATCTGACCACATTACCTGTAGACCCATAGACTTCATATGATGTTCATCATGAAGCTCCCGCATTCGACCACTGACAGCAAGGAGTGCTTTCGATGGGACACAACCTCTGTTTACACAAGTCCCACCCACAACATCTCCCTCAATTATGGCTGTTTTTAAACCCTGAACAAATTAGAGCAAAGTGAAACAAGATCAATATAGAAGCAGTGCCAACTCTTAGAAATTTATTGTATGGTTAATGTTTGGCATCATTCTTCTTTGCTAGTGTCATACGCCCAATGAGGGCTGAAGGCCCATCAGTCCCATGTGCCGGCAGCAGCGGCGGTGCCGCCCCCAAGGGGGCTGCCGCCTAGGGAAGCAGCAGCGCCGCCAAGGGAGGAGGAGCACACAGCAAGGGCGGGTTCCCCACCGCTCCACTATCCATACCCGGAGGATCTTCAATAGGAATAGGATTAGCTAAGATAGGAAGGAGTCCACATCTATAAGGACTCCCCTCATTAGGTTACTTAGGAGACAAGTCTACTCAGGACTATAAGTAGAGGGGCTATGTAATCATTGCAATCAAGAAAGAACAGCCTCAGGCTTATCCTTCCTCTCTCCTCTCCCCTCCCCTTCGCCGACTCCCTCCCTCTCTCCCTGCCCTAGCGCCGCCCCCCCTCCTCTTGCTTGCCGCCTCACCCCCATCAACCCTAGCCGCCGCCTAGAGCCCCCATACCGGCCCTCTTACACCGGTATCCGGAGACCAGACGATCCATGGACTCCACCCCCACCATGCAGCAGCCGATCGAAAACCTCGCCGCCGATCTCCGCAAGAACTTCGGAGAGATGCACCGTCAACCTCGATAATCGTCTACACGCTATCAAGCGCGCACGCACCCATGGTGACGCCGCCATCACCGGCGTCCAGGCCAGGTTGGACCGAGAAGCCACCATCGACGACCTCACCGCAGAAACCGAGCGAGTCATGATCACCGTCGGCAAGTGGTATCTCAAACGCAAGATGGACGAACCCCAGTCCTCTAAAGCTCCGGAGATTATCCTGGCTGTATCAGACAGCTTGCTTTCGGCTCCACCTCCATCACCACAGCCACCATTGGCGCCGCTGTTTCCCCCACGGGAGGAACCCCCAGCTATCCGTGCGGCTACTCCCCAATCCCTGAACGACAACAACTCGGAGCCAGCTACACCGCCAACCGCGTATACGCCAGCAACACACCACCAACAGTTGGCCATCGACCACCAGGAGCCACTGCCGTGCACGACACCAGCGGCAACACCACCAGCAGTCCAGCGTCAACCACCGCCTGTGCATGCAGCCAACCGACTACCAGCTGGCCCGGCGGCCGTACAGTACATCAAGGCGACACCACAGCAGCAGCCGGCCACCTGGCCGCGCGGCACCGAGGGATGATGCGCCCCAAACACCGCTGCCTCGGACGACACCGACAACGACAAAACCACCACAACAACATGTCCCTGTCAAGACACAACTCACAACTCCAACATACGATGGCTCGACGGACCCGAGGCCATGGCTCTCGTGCATACAACAAATCTCCAACTTATACCGTCTGCCGGAGACACAACAAACCTGCTACGCGGCCTATCATCTGACAGGTGAAGCACACCGGTGGTACATGCGCGCGACGAAGGATACACCCATGACCGAGTGGGCGTACTTCACCGAGAGCATCATCCGCAACTTTGGCCCCGACCGCAACATCACCGGCGACCTCGCACCACCGCGTCATATCGGCTCTGTGAACGACTACATCAACAACTTCATCGCTTACGCTCTACACACCGGCATCACCAGCGAAAGCAACACCAAGTCAGCCTCTTCGTCAACGGCCTTCAGGACGCGCTCCGAGTGGCGGTTATCCCTCACCATCCGCGCACGATGGAGACGGCCATTGACCTCGCCCGTACCATGGAGACCCCGGCGCCCGCCACCACCGCAAACACAGGACGATCCATCCGCGCTACCGGGGACGATCCATCCCCGCTACCGGCAACTACAACACCGGGTCGACCAAGGAACCGTCACCCCCCACGACGGCCCCTACACCGCCTGACAACCCTGCTCGTCCTCAATCAGCCAGCACCAACACCAGAGCAGCCGCATGCATCGAACCTGACCAGGAGATCCTTGCCCAGCTCCGTGTCGCCGCCACGGAAGAGCGCGAACTCCAGATTATCTCCGCCACCATTGAAGTCCAGGCAGCAGCAGCAGCAGCAGCTTGGTCCCTACAACAAGGCATCGTCCGCTACAACGAACGATACTACATTCCGGTAACTTCACCTCTGTTACAGGACCTGCTCGAGTCGTTTGGCAGTTCATCTCTGCATCTTCTAGCCATCGGCCTCCACACGGCGACATCTACACCGACAGCATCCTACTCCTCGAGGCGTGGCCACAACGCATCCTTCTTTCTGCAACGATCATCTTCTTCGACAACAACGGCCAGCAGTTCCTCTCCATCGAGGACACCTACATCTGCAGGCAGCACGCCAATGGTCATCTACAGGTCTCTCCAGCAAACTACAACACTGACGACCTCCTCTTCGGCACGCTACAGCACTTCACCACGACACCTCCGATAATCGTCGCTACAGCATTATGCCGGCGCATAAGGGGACAAGTTGATACCGGACAAGTGCAGTCACTGCCACGTCCTCCACAAGTGATGCAGGCACTACACTTCCCGGGAACGCTCCCCGGCGCCGCCATCTACGCAGCCCGCTGCATCCATGAACCAACTGATGGCTTAGGGACCAGCAGCTACTACATCTCCGGCCACTTCGGCTCCTGCGGCTACTACTTCTAGTTCTCCGACTACCACATCAACACCAACCAGTTCAATGACACCTTGGGCCACCTCACTGTTCAAATTGCAGAACGACCAAGGGATACCGGGCCACCGCCAGAGGCTGTCAAAGATTGGACAATGATTCAGCGCGAGGACACGCTGATCGGAGAAGGGGGAGTGATGTCATACACCCAATGAGGGCTGAAGGCCCATCAGGCCCAGGTGCCGGCAGCAGCGGCGGTGCCGCCCCCAAGGGGGCCGCCGCCTAGGGAAGTAGCAACGCCGCCAAGGGATGAGGCGCACACAGCAAGGGCGGGTTCCCCCGCCGCTCCACTATCCATACCCGGAGGATCTTCAATAGGAATAGGATTAGCTAAGATAGGAAGGAGTCCACATCTATAAGGACTTCCCTCATTAGGTTACTTAGGAGACAATTCTACTCAGGACTATATGTAGAGGGGCTATGTAATCATTGCCATCAAGAAAGAACAGCCTCAGGCTTATCCTTCCTCTCTCCTCCCCTGTGCCGACTCCTCCTCTCTCCCTGCCCTAGCGCCGCCACCCCCTCCCTCTGCTCGCCGCCCTCACCCCCATCAACCCTAGCCGCCGCCACGCCTAGAGCGCCACCCCCCCCCTGCCGGGTTCTTACAGCTAGTCTAGCATAAGACATGAGGTTAAAATGGGAAAATATTGTTGTCTCTTGAAATTGACTCGGACTACTTATAAGATCAACTAACAACAGTCCAACAACAATGGTATACAGGGCACCAAAACCTCCAAATTCACCCAAGGAACCAATGCTTGTCCCTGAACAAGCACCCAAATTAAAATTTGGAACTGTTTGTAGACTAGGCATAGGTTGCAAATAGCTTACTCTGTGCACTAGCACCAAAACTAACAAGTATTTCAAGTTTTAAATTAACTGCTAGCAAGAAAGTTTGCGCCCCAAATTACAGGTACACGCCTGGGATTTCCACCATCCTCAGCCTAATGGCACCTCACGGCATCATCGATCTAAAATCCTTATCAAATACACAAAGATCAACGATCATCCAATTCAAGCAAAATTTCCATTTCTAACGCCAAATTACCAATCAGGCATCACGTTCTATCGTTTCTTGTCAGTACTAACGCATCTCATGGCAGAACAATTTCGCAGCTCCACTATACCAGGATTACTCGTTAGCTTATGCTTACTAGCCATTCCACATCCTAACAGAACACGACTCACTAAAGCACCGTGTTGATGCTACACCGAGCACTTAATAAAAAAAACGCAGACCTCTTCAACGGCGTGGAGCGCGGCGCCGTGACCTCCGACGCCCGCGCCGATGATGACGAGGTCGTAGTCGAAGCCGCCGCCGCTCCCCGCCACCGCGCCATTGGTCGCCGCCGCCGCCGCCGCTGCCGCCCTCGCCACCGCCAGCCTCGCTGGCGCCTGCGAGATCCGCAGCGAGGGGCACGTGAGGGCCTCGCCCCGGAGTCCGCAGACCCGGACTCCACCTGGCCGCCGCGCAGCCTCGGATCTGGCGCCGCCGCGGGACGCGGTCGCCGAGGCGGAGACGGCGACGGCCGCGGTGGACTGCATAGCGACGAAATGCGACAATAGGCTGGGGGCTAGTGCGCGGTGAGCTGGGAGAGGGAGGCGTATAAGTCGAAGAGGAGGAGGCAGGAGCGGGCGGAGGAGGCGAGGAGGGGTTTATGCGACGGGGCGGAGGTTTCGAAGTTGGCAGATGGCGGAGGCCGAGGGAAGGAGAAGGTGGAGGCGTTGCGGCCTTGCGGCCTTGCGGGCTAGCGGCGATGGGACCCGCATGTCGGTGTATTAAGCTGATGAGATGAGTGGGCGCCAGGTCAGCTGCTGGCGTGGTTTATGCTGGTTTATTTACATGGCCTGTCACATGCGTAGTATTGGTCGATCCTAATCTCTAGTCTCTACTACCTCCCGTTAAAAAATAAATGCACTGTATTTTAGCGAAACGAACAGGCCGCAAGCAATTTTATGTTTCGAACAAGTTGTGTTCTAGTTGATCAAGAAAATCGTATATAACATTTATGTCTCCGAGTAGCTTTACTAAAATGCAATCCTATGTTTGGAGCAAGTTATTCTTAACCTCGATCAAAGTTTACGGAAAATAGTATCAACATGTATGTCCCCAAGTAGAATTATTATAACAATATATTACATAATTGTTTCAATAATGTTTATTTGGTGTTATAAATGCTAGTGTTTTGTATAGATTTGGTCAAACTTAACATTATTTGACGACTCGAAAATACGAATTGCATTCTTTATGAAATAGAGGAAGTATCTCATTTTCTTTGTTTTGTCATCTAAATTATTTAGATTAGGGTATATTTAGATCCTTGGAATTGAATTCATTCTAATAATTATAATTTAGGTATAGATTAATTAAGCTAATATAGTTATATATGGAATATATTTATATATTTATTGTTAGACATACAATGGACATACTTATATGTTGCATTTCTATTGTAGGAAAGTGGGTTGAAGAGTGTGCTATAAGTTGGAGAATAGAATTATAATATAATGATCTATAAAATCAATTTTCATCTCCCACCCTATTAATTTGAGATAGGCTTATTTATGAGCTTGGAAATATTATGGAATGTTAAATTCTAAGCCAAATAACCTAATTTATTATGTAAATTTTAATTCCTCTAAAATAAAGGGATCTAAGTGGCCTCTAAGTGGATTTTATTTTTCTTGGTTCTGAATTGTTTTTTATTAAATGAGTGTTTTTCCTATTTAATGCTCTAGATAAAACAAAAAATGCATTCTGGACTAGTAAAACTTAGCTCCTGCTACTTCAATCTAGACAAACATGTTTCTAAATTCTCAAATTTGCTACTGCCTAATGTAACTCATGGGTCATCCAACCTATACAACTGTTGGCATCCATTTTCCCCTATTAATATACATGGATGTTGTATGAAAAATTCCCAAGCTTTCAAAAAGAAGCAGAAGAAGTTTCTATAAAGTATTTTTGTTTATTTTAGTTTTTATATGTACAATGGTTTGTTATTTATGGACAGCATGCACCATTACAAGGTATCTTCACCGTACTTAGTTAAGATTGATGGTGATTTAGACTTTGTACCTAGAAGTATGTTTGGAAGCAAAAGCCAAAACTGGAATAATTTTTTGGAACCCAATATGATAAAAGAATACTTAGCATTTTTCACTACTACAGATTTACTTTTCACTGTCGTCACTTTCACTGCCGTAGCGATAAAAGCGTCGGTGTGATACTTCCACCATCGGTTGGACCGATAGGGAGGCCTCGTAAGGAATAAAACCGGTAGTTGAAAACTATCAATGCGACGGTGGTGGTGGGGTTGAATTCCACCGTCGTTTGGAACGCCAAGCCGACTGGGATAGGCGTTATGGCCGTTGGCCCTACACGATCGTTTGGTGTACCGGCGGTAATAAATTCAGCGTGAGTTATTTCGCCATTTCTCAACTACCCACAACACAATTGCATCACCATTACTTTCCTACGTAGTATGCCTCGTCTTCCCTGATGCTTATATTAACTGCTCCTCTTTGTTTCTCCATCTTCAAGGTTGGCCTATTTAAGCCGGAGATGGATGCGCTTCTTGGTAATCCACACACTCCTTTCTCCTTAGATACATATAGATACAGACAAAGCTCTTGAGCCAACTATCTATATTTTCTTCTCGCCATGGCGCTCCTTCTCTAACTCCTTTGGCAGCAGCAGCGACATTGGGAGAGGGCCTTCAAGATTGGGTACTACTGGCATCTAGGTGCAACGGGGGCTGCTCGATCTAGGTGCTAGTGGAACTTTTGCGAATAAGGGGGTTCGCTTATTTGGGCAAGCCAAGGGGTTGGACCCCACCGATATCAGATCATGGTGGGAAGAGGTGGCGAGGAAAGTGCCAAGATCTGAGCGTAAGCGGCTTAACGGGGTAGTAATCTACACCTTTTGAAATATCTGGAAAGAGAGAAATAAGAGAATCTTCGACAACAACATAGAAACGGTGCCGCAGGTGGCCGCAAGGATAAAAGGAAGACATAGAGCAAAGGAACAGAGCACTCGCTTATGTGTAGTTGTTGCCCCCACCCCATTTGGGCCGTGCGTTTTCCTAATTTGCATGCTTGTGGGGGTTTGAATCCCTAACATCGAGTGCCCTTGTTTTGTACATAAACTTTCTTTTCCCATCTTAATTGAAAGGCAGAGCTCCTGCCATTGCGTTCAAAAAAATCACCATTCAGCATGCTCTGTCATAATTGTCATTTGATGTTTTTTTGTGTACAGGAAAATCTTGAGCCCCTTATTGAATATGTTGCTGAGTCTTTTTGGGGCCAACTTGTGAAGTTTGAACGATTGAAGAGTATTCAGGCCTTCAAACTTAAGTACCACCTCATGTCAATAAAATATGATGTTCCAGAAAAGGCATGTAACTCATTTGCTCCTTATTTTGCAACTTATTTGCTCCTTATTTTGCATGTATGCAACAACAACTTTTGCCGACCAGAGGTAGTATGCTAGTATGCTTGATAAATGAAACTCGAATATATCACATTGTCATTATCAATCAACCTTATGAATATTTAGCTATTTGATTGAAGGATGATTGTACTTCTGTACTTAGCTAAATGAAACCATTATATTTAATTGTGGCTTAGGGTGCATGTACTACTATAGAGTCAGGCAATGATCGGTTGGCCTGTGTTCTTGTTAGATTGTGGAGAGTGCAGAAACAAAGCAAAGTACTGGTGTGGTTGGCATGAGAAAGAAAGCAGACGAAAGAGGTGCTGATAAGGAACAGGAAGGTTATTTTAATAAGGACAGGTTTGTTTGTTTCATTTTCCTTGTCTGCTGCCTATTTTATGTTGGTGGGCCCAATGAAGTTTGGGATTCCATTGTTTACTTAACCAACATGAAATTCCTTTTCTTTTCCCTTTTAGTGACAGAGTAGATTCTTCTACACCAACAATGCATTCACAGGAGCAATCTATCCCTGCAAGGTATCTCAATCTTCTGCAAGTGCAGATGGATGTCCAGTTCACTTTGTATCTAACATTTATTTACTAGCTTTTGCTGGTTAGATTGATGATAATTTGTCGAGTGTCGTTTTCACTGCACTATCTGTAGTTTCTGAACTTTGAACCATACTTTGTATCTTGTATCTCACTGATATTTTGTTATTTCTTCTGGCATGAATCTGGTGGGCTTGCGGATTGTGATGTTGATGATAAATATTCGATCCACCTCCCAGAAAGCCTGTTAATGCTGATGAGGCCCAAGTGGTGCTAAAGAGTGTTGCTTCAGCCTCGCCTTCTAGAAGCACGAAAAGTTCTGAAGGCAGTGGCGAAGGGGATGGAAGCCAAGGCTCTTAGAAGGAATAAAGAGTGTTGCTTCAGCCTCGCCTTCCAGATGTACAGTTAATCCCGGAGAGAAGGATTGGAAGTTGAGTATGAACTCCTTTTTGTGCAGCATTATAGAAGGAAAGCTCATCCTCGTTTTATTGAATTAACGTAGTAAGACTAACAAGCAATAGGGACGAAAAATGCACGCCCCCTGCTCGAAATTGTTTCCTCTGGGACCATTGGCTAAGCTGTTACTCTTGTAGAAGTGGAAGGACAGGTTAGTTTGGCGTCAGTAGCATTGTAATCTCATAGAACTGTGATTTGTTGATTCGTGGATATGGCATGATGAAAAATCCAACTGAGGCATTGTTTGGCTGGATCTAATACACCTCAATCCATATGTATTGAGTTGGATCGGGGATGGAAAACTAGTCCATTTTTCATGGATTGTGGTGGATTGAATTGCAGCCTGAGGGCACAGGAATGTTAGCCACCTTCTATGGTCAGAAAGCAAAGCCTACATCTCAGGGTATCTGTTTCATATGCTTGCTCAATATGGGGTGATACCGCACCAGTCTGGTGATTGACGGATGACGATTTTCAGTGTTGTTTGTGTTTGTATCTTTCGTGACCAGGTTAAGGTCATGTTTATAGAAAACTAAAATTTTCTCCAAATGTTGTAGGAATTGAAATGTTCCATGGCGAAATGCTGGAATTTCTTTAGGAACCAGTCTCAGGTTAGGCTTGTCACTTCTCTAGCAGGCAGTAGGTCAGCATGTTGGCTTCGCAGCATACCGAGCATATTCAAGGGTAAGATAAGAGGGGCAGACATGAATAAGCCTCCAACTCTGGTGATCTGGCATCACTGGAACTAGGCACCGATCGACACCATTACTTGTTACATTGTTGCAAGCTAACATACACGACGATTATTCTTACTGACTGATGATCACCGCAAGTTCAAGAGGCGGCAAGCTACATACACGACGATTATTCTTACTGACTGATGACCGCAAGTTCAAGAGGCGGCTCGCCGCGACAGCCCGCGCCTTTGCCATGGAACGGCAGCAGCATGCTAGCATGCATTGATAATCAGATGATCAGAGGTGGTCGAAGATGATGCCACCGTGCGCGGCGAAGAAGGGCGCGAAGACGAGCGACTCCACGGCCATGAGCTTGATGAGGATGTTGAGGGACGGGCCGGAGGTGTCCTTGAGCGGGTCTCCGATGGTGTCTCCGATCACCGCCGCCTTGTGCGCCTTCGATCCCTGGGGCCCCAGCGACCTCGCCTCCTCCGACATGCCGGCCTGCAGGAGAGACAATGATTGCTTGGTCACTCCAATGGAGCACAATGCCAGCCGCATCATAACAGGTCAACCCCGAAGTTTTCATTCTAGATTTCTAGCTATGACCTCGATGTACTTCTTGGCGTTGTCCCATGCACCCCCGCTGTTGGAGGCAGAGATGGCGACCTGGACACCGGAGACGAGTGCACCGGCGAGGAGCCCCGCGAGCGTCTCGACCCCGAAGAGCGTGCCGGCGACGAGCGGGCTGAGCATGACGAGCGCGCCGGGCGCCATCATCTTCTTGAGCGAGGCGTCGGTGGAGATCCTGACGCAGGTGGCGTAGTCCGGCACGGCGAGGCCCGGGATCGTATCGAACTGGCGGCGCACCTCCTCCACCATCCGCAGCGCGGCGCTGCCAACGCTCCGCATCATCATGGCCGAGAACCAGTAGGGGAGCATGGCGCCGACGAGGAGCCCCACGAACACGCGCGGGCTCAGCACGTCCACCGCCATGATCCCGGCCCGGCTGACGTACGCGCCGAAGAGCGCCAGCGACACCAGCGCCGCGGAGCCGATGGCGAACCCCTTGCCGATGGCGGCCGTGGTGTTGCCCGCGGCGTCGAGCGCGTCCGTCGGCTCCCGGACCCGTCGCGGCATGCCGGCCATCTCCGCGATGCCCCCCGCGTTGTCGCTGATGGGCCCGTAGGCGTCGATGGACAGCCCCTTGGCGATGGTGCTCAGCATCCCCAGCGCCTCCAGCGCGATGCCGTACGTGGCCGCCAGCCGGAAGCTGGCGTAGATCGCCGCCGCGATGGCCAGGATGGGCACGATCACCGACTTGTACCCCACCGCCAGCCCGAAGATGACGTTCGTCGCCGCGCCCGTCCTGCACGACCGCGCCACCGCCTGCACCGGCCCGTACGCGTTGCTCGTGAAGTACTCGGTGACGTAGCCGATCACCAGCCCCGCCCACAGACCGGCCGACACGCAGATGAACAGGTGCCTGTGCATACATTTTCATGCAGGATTTCATCAGCTAGATAGCAGCAAATCTCAAATCAAATAGACTCAACACACAAAACATACACACGTACCAGTTCTTGACGTGCTTGTCGTTGCCGAAGTCGAAGAGGGTGAAGCTGGGCGGCAGGGCGAGGAAGGTGTGACGGCGGCGACGCCGGCGGTCATGAACACGGTGGAGAGATGAGGATCTGCCGCTTGAGCGCCGGCCCGACCTCGTCGGACTCTTTCACCTCGGTGACGTCGGTGGCGACGACGGTGGTGATCGCGCACACGAGCAGGCCGACGGCGCTGATGAGCAGCGGGTACATCATCGCCGTGAGGTCGTGCTCCGCCCCGAAGGAGCAGATGGAGGCCACGAAGAGCGCGGCGCAGGACGACTCCGCGTACGACCCGAACAGGTCCAACCCCATCCCGGCGATGTCGCCGACGTTGTCCCCCACGTTGTCGGCGATCACCTGCAATTCATCACACATGCGGCACGGCATCACGTACATTGTGGGCGACCATCATGCTGCTCACACATACCACGTGTACGAAAAGCATGTGCAAACACACCGACCCTCATTTGTAACTGACGTCATATATATCTCTAGCAGAAAAAAAAGGAAACACGAGTAGTCGGTGCATGCAACTAACGGTGATCGATTTTGCTTTGAGATACGTGTAGGACATGATGAAGCAAAGCAAAGCAAGCAGCCACCAGCCAGCAGGACGTTGCATGCAGAGAGCGTGACAGTGACGTGCATGCGTACCGCGGCGTTGCGAGGGTCGTCCTCGGGGATGTTGCGCTCGACCTTGCCGACGAGGTCGGCGCCGACGTCAGCGGCCTTGGTGTAGATGCCGCCGCCGACGCGGCCGAACAGGGCGACGGAACCCGTGTGATGGACTCGTAGAGCCCGCCCCAGTCGTCGCCGTAGTAGAGGCCGAAGAGGTTGACGGCGGCGTAGAGCACGAGCAGCGCGCTGGATGCGAGGAGGAAGCCCATGGCGGTGCCCGACCGGAACGCGGCGGCGAAGGCGCGCCCCACGCCGTGGCGGGCCTCCAGAACCGTGCGCGCGTTCGCGAACGTGGCCACGCGCATGCCCAGGTAACCCGACAGCACGGACGTCGCGGCGCCCAGCAGGAACGCCACCGCGCTGAACGCCGCGTTCGCCAGCGCCGGCCGGCACTCCCTTGACGGGTCGTACGCGCACGGCGACGGCCGCGCGCTGAACCGCTCCGCCGACCCCAGGAACACGAAGATCACCGCCGCGAACGCCGCCGTGAACGCGGCCAGGTACTTGTACTCGGTGAGCAGGAACGACGTGGCGCCGATGGAGATGGCGCGCTGGATCTCGGCGCACAGGGCCTCCACGAGCAGGTAGTCCATGCCGTCCTCCTCCCCTTCCTCTTCCTCCCCCCGCACGTCGCGGCCCTGCTTACTGCCTTCGCCGCCGCCGCCGCTGCCCTCGCCGGCGTGCGAAGGCACGGGGACTTTGGCCACCACGTACCACTGCAGCATCGCGAAGGCGATGCCAATCAACGCCGCCACCGGGATGAGCACTTCAACCGCCGCGGTGCCGAGGATAGCCATGGCTGCACACGCCCTCAAGCTCACCAAAGCCTTTTGCTCTTTGAGCTCCGATGTAGGGAGTGTTCTTGGGATGATGTTGTGAATAGTGGTGATGACCCAACAGGGGGTTTAAAAAGAAGGGAAACGGCTGTATAACAACTTACGGCCGCACACCTTGGTTTCAACGTGTATCACAAATCAGTCCTCTGATGAGACATTCTGAAGATGAGCAACTACTGAGCATGATAATATCCTACATTCTGAAGGGCTTTCAAGGCGACTGTTTGTTGTAGATACAGTAACAGTAGTGACTGTACGGTGTATGCTTCGTGCTGTCCTCACAATTTTGTTGCTTATGCAACAATTTTTTGCCACTGCCTCATGCTTTCTGGAGAAAAAGTAGCCTAACGTGTCTGTAAGATGATACCGGGCCTAGATTTCTCTACGGTGATATACAAGTCCGAACCTATATATCTCTATATATGGTTCATGAAGGTGAGGTGTTTCATTAAGCCTTAGGACGGCAAGGGATGATGTCACATCTTCAAGAGCTCAAAGCTTTTAGGCACTGAACCCTCTCTACTACTCATTCACCAAAAGGAGGAAACAGAATGATCCCCTAAATAACATTGTTAAGGTATGTTCATGTCAAGTTACTGCAACCACATATATACATGGTAGATATGCATGAACAATAACTGTCTCATGTATAACACTTGTAGGATGAAGCCATAGTTTAAAGGGCCAGCATCCGGAGAAACACATCGGATGCGACAAAAGTCTCGTCTACTTTCTTCTTAGCGTTTCTCTCCTAGACATGTCATTATAGCTATCCTTATGTATGCATTCACATTTTCTTCGGGTCAGAGAAGTTCCGTGGACTGCCTTCTTTCTAGCCATCCGTTTCGAATACTAGAAAGTTCTACGTGACATGTGGTCCAGCTACTGTCCGCTTAAACGGTCATGTAGCCTGTTTACACATCGTTAAACACTACATAGTGATACGTCACACTTCCGTTTAATCAGCCGTTTATCTCATTTAAACGTCTATTTTGCCCGTTTGAGTGTCCATTTAGGCCGAATAATGACTAGACGCAAATTACCAACTATTTATAGTTTAGCGTTTAAAATAACACTGGGTCTGGCCAACGAATCACTATAATCATTCTTGTAACTTCTATTGATAGGATTGCATTGCAAATTCGTAGCTCAGTTGGTTGGGTTTCTTGTGGTAGGACATATCCACTCGGGTTCATAGAAGTTAAATCTGTATGTGTGCAATCACATTTTCTTCGGGTCATAGAAGTTCCATAGACCACCTTGTTTCTAGCCATCCGTTTCAAATACTAGAGAGTTCTTCGTGACAGTATTCTAGTTTATTCAGGTGACTCACATGTTGCCACATCCTATTATGACATTTTCACCTTTTTAGTTGGTCACATAAAGTTGGAGGAGTGATATATACCTTGGAGGACCATGGAATGCCTATTCTTGTACGGTCATACTTCTTTTCTTGCAGCCTGTTCGGCTGGGATTATTCCCTTGTAAATGATCGTAAATTTCCAGTCGAGTCGGAACAGTATTTTTCTCTCACACCAAACCAGCCAGCAGTACTTCTTCACGATCCAGCAACGAACAAGCCCAGCCAAACGAACAGGCTCTTGAAACTTGTACGGTCATACTTCTAGAACACTTTTATGGGTTCTCTGTAGAGTTCTTTTTCACCATTTCCAAACAATTGAAAATATGGAACTTTTAGCCTCTTTATATCTATGACTCTTTCAGCCACTCCGGTGTCTCCTACTCTATACTTAGTCTCCCAAAGCATATCCAGGGAGCAACAAAAGCAAATAGAATTTGTTTCACCTAAATAGTATTTTGTTTGAATTTGGAGGACCACAAAACACATTTGAGTTAGTAATAGAAATTAATGGTAGGTATGCATGTGAATGCTGCCTTTTTTAAATTGTTGGAGGGTTAGCTCACCTAGTGATGAGTACAGGCCCGATCTTCCGAGAGGTAGCCGGTAAGTTCGATTTGTGGAGATCTCGACGTTGGCGATCCGGCTTCAAATCAGACGCGATTCGAACCCTGCAACCGTTACACCACTGCTCCGTTGGTTATCAACCAAGCACAACTTGATTGACCTCGCCAAGAAGGCTTTTCCTGCAAGCGAATCGAAGAGCACAAGCAAGAAAGTAAAACACGCAATCTGATATTGCAAATATGAATGACACGAATATTAATAGAGGGTTCTAGAACTCGGTTCCAAAGGACTAATCGACACAGTGGAGGAGATCAAGAACGGGGGCCCTGGATCACTGTAAAAGGATTTGTCACCACAGTTACAATGAACGATTCAGTTTCTCGATGGAAAACTAAACTCTAAACAAAACCCAATTGTGTAGCAGCGGCGACGGCTATGTTTATAGTCTAAGACTCGACCTAGGGTTGGGGACGGCCAGGGGTTGGGCGCCCACAACTTGGGCTTAAGGCCCGACACGATACATGGCCAAGTTGGCCCAACTAAGTGACGCAGCACCTTGCCGTAGTCATACAGAATGATCCACGGACCTTCTGGAGCTGGGACCAGATCCAAAACGACGGCGTCGTCGTCCCCTTTCCAACGCATCCAAGAACGGCCCGTTTCGATGTCGTATGAGAAAGTTATGACCGAAACAGTGACGACGTGTCTGCTGAATCCGAGGGTGACGTGGCAGCTGAGTTGGGAACGAATTGCAACTTGGGGAAGACCATGGCGTCGGTGTGTCCAGCATGGTGATGTCCTCATCACCTAGAATCCCTTATAATTTATGATAAATTTTGAACGCTTAGATACCTTATATTGCAGGACGAAGAGAACAATTTATAAGTTTGGAAACCTTTCAAATAAAATAACCTTGTCATATGTATTGACCTATGTCAAGTCATGCCAACGATTCAAATTTGTTAAAAAACTAAAAACTAAAAGTTTTATTTTTTCGAAAATTAAGTAAGAGTAGAATTTGAGCTCCTACTTGAATTCAACATAAGTCTATTTTTTTCTTAAGTAACAAATGGTGTATCTCATGTAAACTTTTATGCATGATGAAGCATTTAGGCATGATTTGGATTTCTCCTGTATTGATTGACTGTGTGACCAAACGAATTCGAACCGTAGTTCGAATTTCCCTGAAAATTACCTTGGAAACACTTTTAAATAAAAGGAAAATGTTTTCCCAGCTTTCCTGGTCACCGAGACGAATCTAGCCCGTGTCCCCTTTTCACATTTTCTTCCGCTGGCCCTTCCTTCTCCTTCTAGTCCGGTCCGACCCAAATGGCCCTTCCGCTTCGCCTATGGGCCTTGGCCCGCAGGAGCACCAGCGGAAGCTGACGCCCCTCCTGGCTTCCTCTTCTCTTTCACCTCCAGCTGGACCCCGGCCCAGGCCCAGGCCCCGCTAATCAGCCACCCAAGCACCCACGCGGCACTTCCACAAGGTGGATAACGAGTCCTCTAAAGTCGACCGAAACGACTTCCCTCTCCAGTCGAACATCTGAACCATCCAATATGCATCCAACCGTGAGACCAGCAAACACTGCAAACAAAGCAGGCCTGTAAGGCTGTAACCGGCCCATATGAGCCCAATGGCTAGTGACTAGTGAGTTCGGGAGTTCTTGGGCGCGAGTCCCTGCTCCTGCGGTAATTTTTCTGGCGCGAATCCTCCTCGCTGGTTTGGCGCCGGCCTCACGTTTTTGGCGCGAGCGGTGAAGGTCGTGCGGCGGCGGCGATCGATGAAGGTCGTGCGCTGGGCTCAGGTTTCTGCTTGTGCTCTCCATCAGCAAACTGGTGGCAAAATCTCTACACTAGTGTCATGTCATCTATTGCTCTCCACCGGCAAACTGCTTGTTCTAATTTGATTATTTTTTTGTCCTCCCTTACTGGATTGTGCTTGGATTGATCATTTAAGGAAGACTGATATGGAAGCTCTGAATCCTACACGGTCATCAATAGCTTCTCTGAACTATTGACGGTAATATTTTAAAGTAAAATAATACACTTCTTCTCTGAATCGGTCCTGTTGGCTTCGCTAAAAAAATAAGCCGAAACACTGTTCTGGCTGATTTGGTGTGAGAGAAGAATATTGTTCCGGTTGAAAAAATAAACTGAAAAGTACGGATTATAAGACAAGCGAATAGAGCCATACTTGCCTATTATGTTGAATTATTGTTTTTCTATTTTTCAGGGAGCAATGATAGATGTTGTTATTGGTGAATTCTAGTAGTACAGATACAGATTATATCCCATCTGCAATCAGGAGTATGGCTCAACAGCCTCCTTGGCCATCATGTTCAGATAGTTTTGGTTTTTTAGTTCTGTGTAATCAGCCATACGAAACTAGTCTTTTATAGTCCACCGACGACCATGGGGCGACAAGGCCTGCAGCCACGAAGCCGGAGCGTCACGGTGGCACAGATGTGAGTGCCGGTGAGGTGAGGAACGCTGTCGCCATAACCAGCCACGGGCCGGCAGCGTCTGCGGCGCCGGCGCCGTATTGACCGCGATGGCGGGGGTGGGGGAAGGGGAGTGCTGGCGAGGTAGAAGCCTGCTGACGTGCCACACCGCCGGATCAGAGAGGAGAGGGGAGGGGAGCGTCGGCGAGGTAGGGAGCTTGGAGCGTCGTGGTGGTGGACGGCTGGGGAGAGGAACGACGACCCGGCCATCGACGACGGCGGCAGAGTCAACCAGGGATACGTGCGTCGTGATGTTGGGCCGGCCATTAAGCCAAGTGGAGCAGCGCATATTTCTGACTCCACCGTCGGATAGAAGTGAACGGCTAGATGCACGGCGACGACTAAGGGGGTGTTTGGTTCGAGCTACTAAACTTTAGTAGCTACTAAATGGTTTAGTCACTTTTAGTAACTCCAGAATTATCGACTAAATCTCTTTTAGTAGCTTTTAGTCATAGTATTTGATTAAAAAATTACTAAAGTGATTAAAAACTACTAAATTTGCCTAAGACTGACTCCAACCATGAGACCCA